TCTATTATAAACGACTGATGTGGAAGACTAGTCAACGCACCCTTTCGGCCAAACCGGGGGGGGGGGGGCTTTGGACGAATGGTCGCGTTCAAGTCAACGCGACGCTAACCACCCTTTCGGCATAAGCCTCTGCAGCCTGCTTTGACCGGCGTACTCTGTCCAAACATCGTATAAACGACCTTCACAAAGAGACATTTTTCTTTAAAGCTGTATAGTAAAACAGCTTTAAACTAATCAGCTCTAGATCGATACGATGATTTTATCCCTGTGTGAAAAGGCTGAATGTCATGTAAGGGGTTAGGAAATCAACCTGTAACCTGTAGAGGGCGGATTGCTGAGACAAGCCGGTAGCGACTATTTGCTTGTCCCTCTTATAGTCTTACAGGTGAGTTGACCAAACTTGATCCATTTTTATGATTAGTAATAAGTATTGATATTGTTACGCTAAATATTTGTTATGTAGGTCTAGACCTACATAATTATTTGCATTATTAGTCTTACAGGTGAGTTGACCAAAATTGAGCCACATTTATGATTAGTAGATCTAGATCTAACTTTAGATCTAGATCTAATAAGTAGACCTATTGATATTGTTAGGCTAAATATTGTTATGTAGGTCTAGACCTACAAAATTATTTGCATTATGTCAGAACGATTTCAGTGATTATTTTGATGTATCATGCGGGATGATATGATTATATCGAAAGCAAGGATTTAATGTTAACATGAGTGATGATTTAGATTAGCAATATGATTTGTTATATGCATTTACATTGTAGCATTTCATGCTCATTGAATTAATGCGGTACCAAAATTGGGTGTAGTGCGTGCGCGCTAATGTTTACCTGGTCCCAGGACCAGGACCAGGGTTACGCTCTAATTTGTGTGACGAGTATACGTCTTGGTTCAGGAACGAGGTCAGTGAGAAATATAGGGAGCATAGAAAAGAAGTGCCTATGATAGAAGTTGAGTGTTTCAAAGTATTGCATGTTGTTTGTATTTTGGTTTCTATTAAAAAGGATATTATGTCACGTCTAACAGTGATGATTGAACTTTGACTATTTAGCCATTAGGGGTTTTCTAGCGCCCTCTATCATTGCAAACCTTATTTCTCATTTTGCAGATTACTATGAAAGAATATTTGTGCATGTTAAATTGATACGGAATGATAAGAGTAAGGGCAGAGTTTAGGGTTAGACCATGAGATTATTTGGAGTTTGTTTGGAAGCAAGAAAAGTATGAAAGATAAATATTTGGATTGGATTGGTTGATGAAAGTTGTATTTGATGCAGATCAAAAGAGATTTATAGTTTCCAGGATTTATCAATGTCTCTGGTCTTGGGATATTTTAATATTTAAAAGCAGAGATATTTTGTCTTTGTTCCATTGTTATGATATTGTTAGTTTCATTATTCATCCTGTAATATGTGCTTACTTTGAAAAGGGGGAACCAGGATAGCCCTATTTAAGTTTATGTTACTAGGATATTTGCATTGTCCTTTGTCTTTAATTACAATGTAAAAGTTAAAAGTATAGTTAATATTGAACAGGAATTAAGTAGTGATATAGAGGTCAAGGTCATTAAACCTAGCTTGGTGTGTTGGTTTATCCAACTTTGTGAATTAGTTGCTTTAAATGAGTTTTATATTGACTGTTACTTATTTGTTTAAGTATTTGGGTCAGGTATTTACCTGTGTTAATGTTGAGAGTTTCAGCTACATTGTACTGTGGCAGTTGGTTTTAAAGGGCAAATTTACTCTTTGATAAACTGACACGTAAAGGGGAATGCATGATCTCCATGATTATCAGCATTATTATGTGTCAGTTATGTGTAATGTGTCAGTTACTGGTTACTACTAATAAAGATACTCTTTGCTTGTCCATCTTACAGGATGTGTGTTACTGATGTGTCCGAGTTCTCGATATAAATTAATACGTTGTGGTGTTGGTTATTTTACCTGACTGCTAAGAAAGCATAAATGCTTGTAAGTAAGCAACCAGACGGCCGATGTCTTTAGGTCCTCTCCGAGGGACCTGGTAATGAGGATTAATGCCTTACCAAAGGGCACTAGCGCATCGCCTTGGTTTCGAACCCGGGTCACCGGAGTACGAGACCATTGCTCTACTGACTGAGCTATCGCGCCTCCTAATACAACAACCTCGCTGCTTGAATATTCTTTTCTTTCATTTTTGTTTTCTTTTGATGGAGATCTTTGCTTTGAAATAGAGAAAATCATTGGTGCTTTAAAAAAACAATATCGTATATTGAACTAAATGCATATTCCATTGAGTTTTTGAATATACCTTGAATATACCTTGAATATACCTTGAAGTCCACACCTCACCATCGTGGTGATAAAGATCCCGTAGATAGTGTGGTGTGGCAAGGTCAAGGGGGTCCCATGGGACCCATTTAAAAACCCAGGTTGGATAGTTGTCTTTGAAGCTTAGGAGTGTCTACGAAATGACAGCGTATGCTTCTGATAACCCACGGGCATCTGCCCAATAATATAAAATAGTTTCAATCATTTCGATGGGGGAATGAGTCATTATTCCCTCTAGTCTCCGCCTCTTACGGACGTGGGTTCATATTCAAAAGCATACACTGTCCAACACCCGGGGAATTCGTCAAAGAAGACGAAAGACTTGATGCATGCCTGATCGTCAACAAAGCGGAGTTAAGTCTCTTGTCAACTCTGTTGCTACGGCAGGCATCCAGCGAAAACGAATTCGTTTATTCAAATTATGGAAATGCAAGCATCGCTTTAAACAAACAGAACGTTGTTATTCCGTGCTCATTTGCCCTGATTGAGGTGTCATATGAAAGGGCAGAAACTGAACGTTCTAGAAATGTAATTTTCTCTTTGGAATTCAGATACCGTCCGCCAAATGACTTTTTGGTTTCCTCTCTTCGAATCGATTTTAATCACTTATGCGTGAAATATGAGCTGCATCAAATGAAAGAGGAGGCTCTAAGCTTTACAAATATGTGTCATTTATTAACCTGTTGAAAACTGGATCTTCTCATTCCTATAGACTTAACACAGGGACAACCCGGTTCCAGTAGACAATGGGTTAATTATAATTGTGATTAAGTTATGATAAAACATCGATAATTCTCGGTTTCGTTTTTTCTGGGATGCACTGTATTATAATAACAATACCATAATGGAATTCGTATTAAAGCCCGTCTGCACTAGTTTGACCAGGGGGATTAGACCTTTCTGCAAGGTCACTGACAGGTGGTTATCTCATCATACCAGCTCTCAATTAACATAAGAAAAGGGGGATCATGATGGGGGACCAACATGCACCGATTAGGAATTGTTTGCTATATAGAGGGAGCAAGTAGCTATAAGTAGTGCAGTGGGTCTTAAATGTTTCATTTTTACTTTTTTCGTATTATGTGCATTTTTTAATTTTTACCATGCTTGATAAGGCTGAATCAACTCAATTCTTGTTCCGTTGCTTTACATTGTTTTGTCATGAATTGAAGTCTCTTTCCTTTTTTCTCTCTTTCTCTCACCTCTCATCTTTCTCGTGTCTTTTTTACCTTCTCACTCTCTTTCAAATTGTATCTCTCTTTCTCCTTTCCCTCTCCCCTCTTACTCTATTTCACTCTATCTTTCTTTTTTCTTTCTCAATTTACTGACAAAGTGATAATCACCATGATATCAATTTTCAATTTTAATCGATATCATTATAATGTATTATTTATATTAATATACCATTTTATAATTTACAATCATGTTTTTTGTGATGGTATTACTAAATATTTAAATTTACGGTTTTAATGCATTTTTATATGATACAATGTGATTCTTTATTTGGTATATTTTTGATGAAACCAAAATCTAATTTTAAATTGATCATATTGATCACTTGAAATACTGATATTGATCGTAAGACGACAATGCGTGAATTTGAATGCACTTTAATTGATTAGAGTGATAAAGTATGCAATTCAGCGGGAAAACCTATATTATCCTTATTGAAATTTGATGTGAGCAGGGTCCGTCCCAGTGTTACAAAATAATAGTTCAAAATAATACATAGAATCGTGATCTTTGCATCCTTTAGGATCAAGATCTTTATTAAGAATAGGATTTGTACATCTTTTATTTCATTTTCATCATGTTCATATCAGATCTTTGGCAGCTAGTAAGTATGAAGTGATCATGAACGTGATTTGATAGAGAATGAGTAAAGCACATGTGGACACTGCATTTTAAATCTAATGCAATTATCTAAAACATGCTTGCCCTTTTATGAATTGAATGACTGAAGAAAAGTCGAAGCAATCGGCATCTGATTTTGAATGCTCCTAGTTATGCTACCAAAGAGTTACATACATCACAAATGCTTCACACATCACGGTTCTTCTTTTTTTACTCTCTTGGGGTTTTCTCCTACTAGGGGTCAGAAGGGGGGGGGGGTTGGGGGTCTTGGTGGTTCTTTTTTTCCCTTTCTAAATGTGCTTCGCGAAAATTCTTTTCAACTTTTTTTTATTTGGGGGGACTTGAAGAAATTTGGGGACCCGAAAAACCTCTCTAGAACCGCTAGTGCTTTACCGACTCGGCCAATTCGCCTTAATTCTCTCTATATGCTACAAAAATACGTATACCACGGGCTTCAAGACTGTTTAACTGTTTCCAGTGAAGATTAATTAAACCCATGTTAACAGGGTTATAATGTAGCTAATCAAGAACATAAATCTTCAATTTAGCAAAGCACCAATCAATCCCTTTCATTCTACCGGCGGAAGAATGAGCTGAGGGAGGTGGGGAAAGAAAGTGGAGAATGGTTGGGGATGGGATAAGGGGATGAGATAGAGAAAGAGATAGGCTGAAGAGAGTGGAAGGGTGGGGGAATGGTTGTTTTGTGCAAAATTGCATGTGTGCTAAATGAGCGACCGTGTAAAGAGACGAAGAAAGCAACCGAAGTGTTAAGAGAACAATGTCACAATTTACCGACATGCATACAAACAACAAACAGCAAAGTATTTTCATATCATAACTTTATTCCTCGAAATACTTGACCAAGTATTAGTAATTTAGCCTTTGAATAAGTTTTATCCTAAGAAAGTGGAAACCAATCTTTTAAATTTACACATAAACTAGTAAATTACATCTAGACATTCATCGAATATTGAAAAGTAAAATAACAACTTCTAACTAGTATGGGTGCCTTATCTGTTTCAATGTGTATATAAATGTTATAAGCCCCTTCATCAGAAAGTAAACGGTACCCTGTTCTATTACCTAAACCCCCAAATAGATATTTAAAACTTATACATGTATAATATAAAATACAAACATATCGCACTCACTTATGGTAATATACATGGGCGTAAATCTGCAATTGATACCCATTGTTCAGGGGGGATGATCTATTCATTCACCCCCCCCCCCTGAACAAAAGGTATTACGTGAGGATTGACGCCCATGGTATACTCATATATTCCAATTGCATCTGATAAGATTGTGAGGATAGTACATCAAAGGTCATGGCATGTACTTCTTGGAAACTTCATCCACATAATATAAATCCCTACACCATAAATAGCAACCAGTTCTTTTGTTCATATATCCTTACCAGATCAATTTTTTCACTTCAAGTTATTGTGAGGATACAGTGCAACCTTGTTAATTAATAACACTGTTTTTAACAAATTGTCATGACATCATTGTCATTTTGCTGGTGTCCGCTTTTTTATATTCTACTCGTTTTTAACCCTGATATAACAATGTTTCAGTGTAATTCAGTTCCTGTCTACTGACTATAGCTCCCACTTCTAATAAAGCATATTCACCCAAAATATATCTTCCAACACCCATCTCTACCATGACATACCCCTCCACCCCAACAAAAATAAAAAATAAAAAATAAAAAAAATAAATAAACAAAGAAATATATATATATATACACATATAAAAAAAGCAATCAATCAATACATAAACAAAAAAAATATAGATCGACCATTACCTTTTATGACAATATGTACAGATTACAATTATAGCACCCACTTCCAGTAATATACGTATATAATATATACATCAAATGATAAATGATAGTCACACATTTGTAAAGCGCTTAATACTATTTTGCTATCGGAGCACGCTACATTGTAATTCTTATAACACCAGTCATAAATTCAATTGATAATTCGAACATGATGGTTCATATGCTCCACAAGCACACAATGCCAATCTGAACCATTGAACAATTGGGTGGACAGTGGCAAATTAATGTTTTGCCACAGGACGTTAGTGCCGGAAACAGTCCAGTACAATGACTTTGTAATACTTGATGTGTTGAGTAAATATATACAATTCTGGACAATTTTGCTCCACATAATATATACTGTACATTCACACATAATATGTGATAAAACCATTTCATCTGTTCAAGAGGACGCTGTGTAAAAATGTAGGAGTTTTGATACATGATATATGATAGTTGAGAGTGTAGGTGTTAACACCCTTTGGCTCTCAACAAACAATGATAGGTGGGAGCTATGTACAAGGAAACTATTGCTCAAATAAATGATATGAGAGATACAATTTTTTTGTAGCATAGATATTATTCTATATTCCAAATATACTAATAATAAGTACATGTAAAATACAGCACCCAATTTCCTTACGCATAATTCAGTAACAGTAGTATATAATTTATATAGCGTCTTTTCCTCTTGATAGAAGCGCTTTACTTGATGCATGTTCAAGAACATTTTATCACGAAATCATCTCTATGAATTTGATTTCAAATTCAGTCTATAAAAACAGGCAATGACAGAATTCTTTATTTTGTATTTTTTGGACGAGTCCTATTCAGCAACTTTGATTTCTGTCCATGTATTTAATGTTGTGTCAGAGCTATTGACGACATCAGTAGTATTGGTCGTGTACCGGTACCTATAAATGATGTAAAATGAAGAGAGAGAGATGTGGAGAGAGGGTGGAGAGAAAGAGAGTGAGAGCGAGAGAGAGAGAGAGAGAGAGGGAGAGACAGAGAGAGGGAGAGAGAGAGAGAGGAGCTTAATTAAAGCTTTCCATGATAGAGAAAATATATAAAGCATAATCAAAGCCAATGTGAGATTGCTTTCATTGCATTCATTATTTTTGGCATAACTGATTCAGCCAATTTGAAGTGCCTATACGGATAGTGATTATAACTTTCAAAACAAAAATCTTTCTTTGTGATTTCTTGTCCAATTTCATTCAAACTATCACCAGTCTACTTTCTTTTAGAGTCTATTAAGTTTGTATTTTTCTCTTCTTATTTGTTCTGTAAGTCATGTTTTTATGTAATCCTTTATTTTCTCCATAGTACTGAATAAATCGTTAACCCATAGAATGTAAGGTTAAGTTTTTGAGGTTGACTTTATACATCCTAGCTATATTTGTACACTTTAATTCAAAAGATAGGAAATAGATTATGACTTACCGATTCAATCTTCCCTGATGGTGCCATATAAGGTCGAACAAACCCTTCATTATAAGTTGTCTAAAATGAGAAAAAAGAGCCACAATGATAATAAACAAGAATGATAATATTAATAATAATAAACAATAATGATAATATTAATACCTGTTCCCCTACCATGGCATTGACTGACCAAAGCACTTACACTATTTTCATTATTATCACCCTGGTAACTTGATTCAATTGCTTGTATTAGTCTGCACATTACAGTGAACATTTAATTTTTAATTTTTCTCCCCCAAGCTTCATTTCAAGCCTGATTCAACCCCAAATCTAACAATTTGATTCATCTGCTAGTCTTTACAAAATGGCATCTCTATGGAAGGAATTCACTTTGCATACATAAGTTGTTGCTGTGTCGGTCAACTCTCTGCATGGGCGTCAATCCTTACGTAATACCTATTGTTCAGGGGGGATGAATGAATAGATCACCCCCCCCCCTGAACAATAGGTATCAATGACAGATTTACGCCCATAACTCTCTGGCAAGCTTTTCAGTCATCAACATCAATTTTTTTCAAAAAGTATGCATAAAATTAGTAAACAGGTCTATATTCACAGAAATTCAAATGGATTTCTTACCTCTGTGGTGTATACACCATTGGAGTAGCCAGGCTTACGCATGTGGCCGAGTTCCATGTTGGACGGGTAGTCGGCCATCGGATAACCGTCTCCGTAATAGCCGTTGCCGTTTCCAAACGGCATGGCTTCTCTCTCTCTGTCCAGTGGCGCAAGTCGACTGATTGACCTCCCTAATCTTCTGTCATGAGACATCATCTGACGCATTCTGATGAACAATGCCACGAAGAGGAAGAATATGAGGAAGATGATTACCACACTCCCGATGATAATGCCGGCTAGGACTCCGTCGCTGAGGCCTGCTGACCCAACTGTGTAATGTGTAAAAAAAAATATCAAACTGGTTAAACTAAGAAAACTCTGCATTATGTAAAGTGATATATAAAGGTTACTAAAGTGTTACAGTTGTGATAAGAAACCTTCAACTGTGTTATGTGAACTGATTTTCTGAAAAATAAGAAACCTTCAATGCTACAATATAAGTGGTTAGAAAAGACTTGCATAACAGTTTTCTGATTGTAAAAATGCCCATCATTTGTATAGTTTGGGGGTAATCTAGACAGATTTACTTTAAGATTGAGAAAGTTGCATCATTATAACGTATTTTGTTTTAGTACAGAAACAATTTCAGAGCGTACTGAGTTGAAAGGGCTATGAAACTTTTGTCTGGCTCCCAGTTTAAAAGGGTACCCCCCCCCTACATACACACACACACACACACACACACACCCCTCATTCATATGGAAGTTTAGACTCGATGCTCTGATATGAAATCATTTTCCTATTAATGAATTTTGGGATGAAGATATGATTGTGTCTGATTTGAATGAGAGACAATCCCCTCTACACTATTTCATTTCCTCTACATAAATGTTTGAAAGGGAAAAAGTAATATTGAAGTGAAAAGATAGACCTACCTGAAGTGCATGTTCTTCCATCGCCGGTGAAGCCCGCGAGACATGAACATGAATAGCTGCCGAAAGAGTTCGAACAAGTAGCAGATTGGGCACATATACTTGCATCACTACATTCGTTCATATCTGATAACAGAAAGGTTAATGCATGGAGATTAATAACGGCTGGGCTAATACAAGACCCATGGCAAATATTCATAGAGATAGCTTTAAATACAAGATTATAACATAGCTCTATAACAAACCTTCCCATCGACAGTTGATTTCTTCATCATTCCTTCAGTAAAGATTGTACATTTATCAAATCTCTGTTTTTTTTTTAAATTGTCAACAAAATAAATTGTGTCCCCTTTTCTCAATAATTGGTATTAAATGATTGGATCATTTTGATGAAAATATGAATTAGGGAGTCCTATAGTCTTAATGGACATAAACAATGCCACAAAATAACAATAAATAATGAGGCGGGGATGGCTGCATCCCCCTTCAATTTGGACCAAAATTTATTTTGCCCTGTTAAAATTCAAGAGTAGCAGATCCAAATGCAAATGCCCTGAGAGAATGAGGCACTATTCACCCAGGAAATGAATTTCTTGATAAAATTCCTTTCAAGAAGAAGGAGACGGTTAGAGAAAGAGAGAGAGGGGGTATTTTTCTTTTTCTTTACCCCCCCCCCCCCACCCCCATGCGGAAGGTTACTACGTCACATCTCAACGATCCTTAACAAGTGATCCAACTAACCTTCACATTGTCTTCCGCTATCTGGTGCAGGAGTGGTGTCAATGAACCCTTCTTGGCATGCACATGTAAAACTACCCTCGGTGTTAGTGCACTCTGCATACGAGCTACAGTCGTTCAATGTGCTACTGGAGCACTCGTCAATATCTAAAGAAAAAAAAGCATAATTGTTATTTTAACAAACGTAATTGAGAAATTTCTAGAGACTTTCTTTTTTTTATATCGAAAAGACAACAAAGGGGAAAACAACATTAACAATTTAGACCTATTTGATTTAGAAACACAAAAAAAGAAAACAAGCCCCCCCCCCCCAACAAAAACAAAAAAGATAACCATATAGAGAAGTTGTAACCATCGAAGTATTGTAATGGTGTTTGGAGCAGGACTGGGAACTTGTCCTTGCATGGACATTTCATTATGTATTCTTATGCTTTTTTGGTGTATAGATTCCTGAAATGCCTGTACAAGAGACACAACCTTGGTTGATTTTCCGTGATTTATCTTCAAGTTTCCTTGAATTTAATTTTTTTTTGTCCTTGATCCTTACTACGATTCCCTAGTTTTCCTTAAAACAAGGACATTTTCTTGGAACGTGGAATCCCTGATTTGTCGTCAATGCATATGTCAGAGGAGCACTACTCACCAGTAACGGTTGTCCTTGATGGGACCAAGACAAATTCTCCAGTAGAGTTTCCATTCCCGAGACTCTCCGTAAACTCTTGGGCTGCTTCGACTGCGGTAGGGGGTTGTATGGTCGTGGGGCTTTCGGGTTCATCGAACATGAGATCGGCGTCGACTTCGAGACTCCCTAAAGAGAAGCCTCTGATGACTACGCCGATGAAGATGGGTCCATATCGGGTTCGGTATATAGCAAATATCTGCAGATGACAAATGAATTTGATCAGTTATAAATATATACCAAAATCTCAGATGTGGTAGGGGATGTACTATAGTTTAGTCTTGCACTTAGAACATACCTAAGAAAGGCGTTCGCACAGAAATACAGGTGTAAAATAAGAATGAGCACCCATAAATTTGTAGCATTTTCTTGTCTTTCTTGCCATAAGATAATTATTTATACCAAGCTTCTTATATGACATATTAAACAGCCAATGCAGGAGGCTATCAATTTTAAAAGATTTAAAATGCCTTCTTACTAGTAAGAAGAGTATTACCAAACATTTGATGATGGCCAAACTTGTTTACTGGTTAAGCAAGTGCATTGTAAAAGAAACTTATTAAAATTTCTTTGAAAAGGCTGATTATGCATGATAGCACCAAGTAATTTGTGAACTTGGAACCGAAACACATAAATGGGCTTATTGGACTGCCCACATAATCATGTGGCATGTTAGTTGGGTTCAAACCTTATATTTTTAGGCATATTTCATATTTCCAATACGAGTACATGTAAAAAACCATTATCCCTTTCGTTGTTGGGAGGGGGGTGCATTTGTATTATGCTATTTGTCCAAACTGACATACAAAGATTGAGAAAGCTCCCCAATTATTTTCATCTCGACACTAGACCTTCCCTTTAAATGTTTGAAAGTAACTTACGATGATAGTAAGGCGCTGTCTAACGTCCATAGATGCTACTGAGGTAGGATTGTTGACGATGGCTTGAAAATCTGTGGTGCTTTGGAATTCCACAATCACAATGCTCAACGATAAAGTACGGCGGGGTACTTGAATTTATAAATGAATAAGTGAGAGAGAAAAGATGAATACATTTCGGTAATGTAATTGCATTTAATGTATACGTCTGTGTTAAGTGCCTCGTTATGAAATATTTCAGTCCCCTGTTACAAATACTTGTATTTCAATATAATTAATGTATACCTCAACGCTAGGTGAAGGTGTATAAAGATGAATACATTTTGAATATGATAAATACTTTTTTCTGACATTAATTTATTAGTCGATATTCATCGAAAACCTTGTTCTTCTGCATGGGACATTAAACAAAATTTGAAGGAAAAAATAGAAATATGCAACATGTATAATTATGCTCTCTTTTCAATATAAGACGCACGCATGATATTTATTTAGTATTACCAATTTTCAGGTTAGACCAAATTCTGAAATGCAACATGTACAAATTGCTTATACATGATTGCTGGTAAAGTTAATACGAATAAGAAATATAGTGTACAACATATTGGGTAATATAAGTGTAAGGTGCGGTAACAACCCACTGCAACTTATATTTATTGAAAAACACTAAAGCTATGGTCATAACTCAGAGAGTCGACCGACCGATTTGTAGCCTGCTCGGTCGCCGCTGGAATTGAGGCATCGCCCAAAGATTTTGAAGAGGTCGAGCAGGCTGTAGAGCCCCGGCGATACCTGGGCGGTGCGCTGTCAATTTCCCGTCGGTCGCCGGTCGATTTGAGGTAAAAAATGGGCGAAATCGGAGAGCTAATTCTCCGGGCGGCCTCCCGGCAGTGACCGACTGATGACCCACCAATTCCCGAGCGGTCTCCCACCGGCCACCGGCTGATTTTAAAGAAATTACCCGGCAACCGGCCGGTGATCGGCGGGGCACCAAAATACGCTCGGTGCCCGGGCGGTCCCCCCCCCCCCCCCCACGCCGCCCGGCTGCTGAGCAGGCTACTATTTTGGGTTGTGACCATAGCTTAAGCGTAACAACAAAGTTGGACAATATTTATTAAGATTTTCAAATAAATATTTGATATATACTTTTTTCTTCTTCATATATCAAAATAAACGTAAATTATCAATAACAATCATACTGTTCACGCATGGTAGCTAGAACATAGCCATTTTACAATAAACGAGTCTATAAAAGAAAATTGAAAAAATGGGTTCATCTGGCCATTCAAATGTTGATGAGCACGAATGCCTGTTTTCAGGGCAGCAATTCTAGAAACCATCACAAGTTCACTGAAATCCCATTCAATGCATGTTTTACGTTTAACACGCTTTTCAATATGATGTTGAAGAACTTGTACTTAAGACGGTTTCGTGAAATGACGCCAAACTGACTGTCGATCGATCACCACACTCAGACTTTTTCAGACTTCATATTGCATGTAATTAACATGTCGGTTCCAGCTAGTCTGTAATTTTATATTGTAAGACTAGTTGGTAGCCCTGGGTGATGTAAGGTCATTATATTGTTAGAGGGGAAAATTAATGAATGTAGGACTTTACCTCTGCAGACACCGTTAGCATTCCTCACCGAATTCCCGCTACATTCACACATGTTAGTGTCGGAATTGCAGCTCTCTCTTGTGGGGCATCCGGTATTACTACTGCAGCCAGTCTTGGCTGTTAATGGTAGTCGAAAAACGAAAAAGCACATGTAGTAAGTAACAAGGGAATATCAACAAAAAAAATTAAAGGTATCAAACAGTTTTTGAGCGTCAAGTAACGCCTGGCTGGAATGCTCCCCAGGGAGTGGAGATTTTGCACACAGTGTGTGCGGGCAAGCACTGAATCCAATGACCGGGATAATAGTATATTTGTAAAGCGCTTAGAGACATTTGTGATAAGCGCTATATAACAACTAAATATCATTATTATTATTTTAATTCCCATTACATAAAAATATTCTAACGCATGGATTTCGACCATCCCTTTCTTTCATCTCCCCATGATCGTTCATTAGGTGAACTTCTCACAAAAAAGTCCCATGTTCGTACATTGAGTTAATTCAAACTTTTTTTTTTTTAACGTCCGGTGTCAACAATTAAATAAGAGATCTTAAGACAGCTAGGTTCCAAGCAATCTTGGAAATCAGAGAAAATCTGTAAATTGACGTATGAGTTTACTTATTCCGGCGAGTCAGGGAAAATGTCATGATATTTTTTTGTAATCGCCCAAATTGGGAGCAAATGAGAGAATTTCACTAGCCCCAGAAGAAACTAGTCAGATGTCGTATGTCCTAACAGCGTACCCACACGTTATTAGTTCCCCTATTACTGGGGTGGTTTTCTAACAAGATATTTTGCCGAAATTTGTTTATTCATATTTATTCAAGAAAGTACATATACCATAGATACAGAGATGTTACATAAAGCCCAGGACCGAGATTTGAATTACATTGGATGCATCTCATGCAGGGTTAAACAATTACAATACACAATAACAAAACGGAAAAGAGAACATCATAACGTCATTTAAAAAAAAATGAAAGCATTAATAATTCCTAACAAAACAAAACAGAACAACAAAATATTTTCTTAGTTAGGAATACCTCACATTTATATACCGTGGTCATATCTATCAATCTCTTCTGTCGTAATATGTCCTAACAGCGTACTCACACGTTATTAGTGCCCCTATTACTGGGGTGGTTTTCTAACAAGATATTGTGCCGAAATATTATCCAACATTTTGTATTCCGACAACATACAAACACATGAAAAAGATGATAAGTCAAGAACAAGGTTCCGATGATTCAAACGGATATATATTAAAGGGTCGTAAAGACAAACCTGTTTCACAATTGGTTCCCTCGTGAGTGTCTGGACATGTACATAAATAAACAGCATTACTTGACGAGCAATCGCCTCCATTTCCGCACGGAGATGATAAACATGGGTCGATCTCTGCGTAATTAAATGCAAATAAAAAGCAAAAGAAACCATTGAATACAAAATATTTCTAATTATATTCCACATACAAAGAATCTTGCGCTAGGATTGGTCAAAAATAAATCACGCGATGGAAGATAGTTCGCCCATCATTAATGGGAAAAGAATAGTTTGTTACACTGTTCGCTTTGGAAAGATAGTTACATCCAGATCGCCTCGGAAGTGATAGTTTGTCCCATCCCCTTCATCAACGGTAATTATATGCTTACTACCGACAGAGTAATAGATTCAATTTGATAGATATTATGATCAGAGGTAAAATGTTGAGAAAAAAGTCCCTTGAACTTAGATGAAGGCAAAGTAACTACACAACCGATTGTAGTAAACAAACTAATATATTATTTTGAACTATGTTTGAAATATGACTACTTTGCCTGTCAATGTGGTTATCTGTTACATGAATTTGAAAGAGTATTCATACTAGAAACGTCTGTCCGAATTATTTGTCTAGATGGACAGACTATTATTACGTTTAGATTGAGTGATCTCCTTTGAAGATTTCCCATTAAACCTTTATCTTGCAATGAAGAAGGAATTTGGTCTAAGATTTAAATGGTTACAACTTCATACGTGACTGTAAAAACTTATTCCTGACAATTATCCTAGAAATTCAAAACTAAATTATTTATGTGACAAGTATCAAGCGTTCCAGAACAATATATTTGAAGTGTGTGCTTTACTCCAAGTGGTATGTACATGATCTTTTTTCAAAGGACTGACATTGCATTCCCCTTTCATATTTCAGTTTTTGATTAATCAAAGATTTATCTCAATCGATTCCCTCCCTAACCATCCTAAAATCAGTTCAAATGTACTTGAATTTCATATAACAAAAAAAAAACACAGAAACGCTTGTTTTGTCACTTTTTAGGATTCGCCTGTTTATCATTCTAAATTACCTGGCATTGGGGTTGCAGAAGGCTCACTCGTGGTTGCAGTAGGCTCACTCGTGGTTGCAGCAGGCCCACTCGTGGTTGCAGCTGGGCCACTCGTGGTTGCAGCAGGCCCACTCGTGGTTGCAGCAGGCCCACTCGTGGTTGCAGCAGGCCCACTCGTGGTTGCAGCAGGCCTACTCGTGGTTGCAGTAGGCCCAGTCGTGGTTGCAGTAGGCCCAGTCGTGGTCGCAGTAGGCTCACTCGTGGTTGCAGCTGGCCCACTCGTGGTTGCAGCAGCCTCACTCGTGGTTGCAGTAGGCTCACTCGTGGTTGCAGTAGGACCAGTCGTGGTTGCAGTAGGCCCAGTCGTGGTTCCAGTAGGCTCACTCGTGGTTGCAGTAGGCCCAGTCGTGGTTGCAGTAGGCTCACTCGTGGTTGCAGTAAGCTCACTCGTGGTTGCAGTAGGCCCAGGCGTTGTTGCAGTAGGCCCAGTCGTGGTTCCAGTAGGCTCACTCGGGTTTGCAGTAGGCTCACTCGCGGTTGCAGTAGGCCCAGTTGTGGTTGCAGTAGGCTCACTCGTGGTTGCAGTAAGCTCACTCGTGGTTGCAGTAGGCCCAGTCGTGGTTGCAGTAGGCTCACTCGGGTTTGCAGTAGGCTCACTCATGGTTGCAGTAGGCCCAGTCGTAGTTGCCGTAGGCTCACTCACGGTTGCACTAGGCCTAGTCGTGGTTGCAGTAGGCTCACTAGTTGTTGCAGTAGGCTCACTCATGGTTGCAGTAGGCCCAGTCGTAGTTGCAGTAGGCTCACTCGTGGTTGCAGTAGGCTCACTCGTGGTTGCAGTAGGTCCAGTCGTGGTTGCAGTAGGACCAGTCGTGGTTGCAGTAGGCCCAGCCGTGGTTGCAGTAGGCTCACTAATGGTTGCAGTAGGCCCAGTCGTAGTTGCCGTAGGCTCACTCGTGATTGCAGTAGGCCCAGTCGTGGTTGCAGTAGGCTCACCCGTGGTTTCAGTAGGCCCAGTCGTGGTTGCAGAAGGCTCACTCGTGGTTTCAGTAGGCTCACTCGTTGTTGCAGTAGGCTCACTCGTTGTTGCAGTAGGCTCAGCCGTGGTTGCAGTAGGCCCAGTCCTGGTTGCAGTAGGCTCACTCGTGGTTTCAGTAGGCCCAGTCGTGGTTGCAGTAGGCTCACTCGTGGTTGCAGTAGGCTCACTCGTGGTTGCAGTAGGCCCATTCGTGGTTGCAGTAGGCTCACTCGTGGTTGCAGTAGGCTCACTCGTGGTTGCAGTAAACTCACTCGTGGTTGCAGTAGGCTCACTCGTGGTTGCAGTAGGCTCACTCGTGGTTGCAGTATGCTCACTCGTGGTTTCAGTAGGCCCAGTCGTGGTTGCAGTAAGCCCAGTCGTGGTTGAAGTAGGCTCACTCGTGGTTGCAGTAGGCTCACTCGTAGTTGTAGTAGGCTCACTCGTGGTTGCAGTAGGCCCAGTCGTGGTTGCAGTAGGCTCACTCGTGGTTGCAGTAGGCTCACTCGTGGTTGCAGTAGGCCCAGTCGTGGTTGCAGAAGGCTCACTCGTGGTTGCAGTAGGCTCACTCGTGGTTGCAGTAGGCTCACTCGTGGTTGCAGTAGGCTCACTCGTGGTTGCAGTAGGCCCAGTCGTGGTTGCAGTAGGCCCAGTCGTGGTTGCAGTAGGCCCAGTCGTGGTTGCAGTAGGTCCAGTCGTGGTTGCAGTAGGCCCACTCGCGGTTGTAGTAGGCTCACTCGTGGTTGCAGTAGGCTCACTCGTGGTTGCAGTAGGCCCAGTCGTGGTTGTAGTAGGCTCACTCATGGTTGCAGTAGGCCCAGTCGGGGTTGCAGTAGGCTCACTCGTAGTTCCAGTAGGCTCACTCGTGGTTGCAGTAGGCTCACTCGTGGTTGCAGTAGGCCCAGTCGTGGTTGCAGTAGGCTCACTCGTGGTTGCAGTAGGCCCAGTCGTGGTTGCAGAAGGCTCACTCCTGGTTGCAGTAGGCCCAGTCGTGGTTACAGTAGGCTCACTCGTGGTTGCAGTATGCTCACTCGTGGATTCAGTAGGCCCAGTCGTGGTTGCAGTAGGCTCACTCGTGGTTGCAGTAGGCCCAGTCGTGGTTACAGTAGGCTCACTCGTGGTTGCAGTATGCTCACTCGTGGATTCAGTAGGCCCAGTCGTGGTTGCAGTAAGCCCAGTCGTGGTTGCAGTAGGCTCACTCGTGGTTGCAGTAGACCCAGTCGTGGTTGCAGTAGGCTCACTCGTGGTTGCAGTAGGCTCACTCGTGGTTGCAGTATGCTCACTCGTGGATTCAGTAGGCCCAGTCGTGGTTGAAGTAAGCCCAGTCGTGGTTGCAGTAGGCTCACTCGTGGTTGCAGTAGGCCCAGTCGTGGTTGCAGTAGGCTCACTCGTGGTTGCAGTAGGCTCACTCGTGGTTGCAGTAGGCTCACTTGTGGTTCCAGTAGGCTCACTCGTGGTTGCAGTAGGCCCAGTCGTGGTTGCAGTTAGCTCTCTCGTGGTTGCAGTAGGCTCACTCGTGGTTGCAGTAGGCCCAGTTGTGGTTGCAGTAGGCTCACTCGTGGTTGCAGAAGGCTCACTCGTGGTTGCAGTAGGCTCACTCGTGGTTGCAGTAGGCCCAGTCGTGGTTGCAGTAGGCCCAGTCGTGGTTGCAAGAGGCTCACTCATAGATGTAGTAGGCTCACTCGTGGTTGCAGTAGGCCCAGTCGTGGTTGCAATAGGCTCACTCGTGGTTGCAGTAGGCTCACTCGTTGTTGCAGTAGGCCCAGTTGTGGTTGCAGTAGGCTCACTCGTGGTTGCAGTAGAAGTCATGGATGAAGAGGATTCTGATGTAGGGGTCGCCATAGACATGGTAGTTGCTCCTTCCATGGACATCGTACTCATAATTAATGTACTGGTAGAGCTGGGTGTTGGTATTGGGGCTGGGGTACAATACCTGTACGTGAAGTTTAGTGTTCCCGATCCTACCCAGTTTAATATGTCAAGTGTTTCCGTTGAAGGTTCAGTGAGTGATCTTAGGTGTGATGAACTGGTCATGCGATTGAAATCCACTACCATGTTTCCAACTGTGTAACGACCAGATGAACTTAATATATTTCCACCACTGACATTAACACCAACGATGAAGATCCCATTCACTCTGAGTCCTGTAAAACATTAACCATAGCAAATAGTTATGCGGAATACGCGCGAAAACAAATATCGTAATGAAGATAGTTGTAAGCATGAGTGTCACATTTTAATACCACACCTGAAAAATTACACCGAAACTATGAACTACTATAACGACGGTCTACTAGAACTTCTATCCACGACTGTCAGTCGCGCTTTGGGGAGGGATACCCCCTCACACACACACACACACGCACACAAAATTAAACATGCATTGAGACAATTTCCATAATGAAAGGACCCCTTTTACTGTCGTATCTGTTGGCAATACTCTAAATCTTTAGAGCAATTCATTGTTTAAATTATAAATTTGAAAACAAATCTTCACTCTGGTAGACCGATTCGAAATGTTGTGGTCCCCCATATCCCTAATCCTAGTCTATATGTTCATTGTAAGTTACAAATGAAGTCCTATAATGAACCCCCAATAGTTCAAGAACCATGTAGAATTGGAAAAAATTCAAATCCGAGTATGATCAGCTGTATCATACAAATGTTTCAGGCTCGGCTTTATATAACATAATTATAGTTGTACTTAACAAAATGTATGAACCATCACATTTAAAAGAAATGTAGAACCAGGAAATGTCACTGTCAAAGCAGCTCTATTCAGCGCTGTAAGTGTTGCTTTAAATAAAGGTCATGCGCGTTTACTCATGCAGAATTTGTCTCATTAAAGGGGACATCCATTGTCTTCAAATTACAGTCTCATTGACTGATCAGTCGATAAATATTGTAGGCAAGCATACTTGGCTTATAGACTTATGTCGAGGTAAGAACATGTTGAAACTAAAAACTGTCGAAATATTGGTGTCTGGAGAGACTATTCATTTATATGATAAGGATTAAACCTTCGTCGTGGAAATTCCCCGATTTGGGCTTAATATAACGTGGAAGGGTCAAGCTTACCTACAAAGGCATTGGCATCATACGTATCAGCTGTAATACTCGTTGAACCAATTGGTATTGTTGCATAAACGGCCTCTGTAAATAAAACAAATAAGAAGACATAATTGCACTATCCCCTTAAAGTAAGATCATAAATAAAAATGCTTTAATTCCTAAAATAAGGAACGAAACGAGAATGACAACCCTGTCAAAATAGAAATTTAACATACAAAAGAACAAAACCGAGCAACGCTGTATTTGTAAACAATTACCATGTTCGAATGCTTTATTTATTCATTTATTTATCTCGTTTTTAATATTTCAACAGGGTAGCCCCATCAGTAGTTAAAATACTACTTAACAAAAGTGAATGCAATTACAGACTCAAGAGAAAAATATGTAGTATGCGCCTCTATTGTTTCGCTCGTGGCCGTGTACTTTCTTCCTTTCTCCTATTTCTTGTCTTTTCTTTTTCGCATATCAAAGATAGCATACGACCGATAATATTGTTAGATGTATCGTGGTCGGGCGGATACGTAATTATATGGGTCGCGTACAATTTAAAGTGTAATAGGTGATTCCGTGCACTGTGCCCCGTGCGACATCCATTTATTCATTAAAGAATGAAAATCTCTTGATATGACTAATGGATAATGATTCTTTCTGGAATCACTAACATCATCAATATCAAAATGTTTTAATTTTCTATTTTTTGTTTGTGATTAATGTCCTGGTTTTGCTGTTTGTGAGTTGTAAACCAAACATCGCCTCTAATTTTGACAGACATGGCGCATAACAAAATGTTTACTATCATTATCATTATCATTATCACCATCATCATTATTATTATTGTTATTATTATTATTATTATTATTAATAATATTATTATTATCGACCTAACTGAGGACTTTTTGTTTAACGTTTAAAGTGGTGTTTTTAATATTGAATGAAAGTACCTCAAATTGTGTTTGTGTGTGCGTAATTTAGATATTAATTGATGATTATTTATTATTCTAAAAGTAGAGAACCGAAGTGCTCAAGTCATATTCGCTCGTCGTCCAGGAAGAATGCGTATGTTGATTTTAACTACTCCCCTGATTGTCTGCTGTGTATTTAACCATTAGTGGCCCAACAAAACTTGTTATCAGAAGAATGGAAGAGTGACCCAGCCTCCTGAATAATAGGGTAAATAGGGGTAAATGGAAACAAATCTTACCCAAACCAGACATACGAGTGGTAGTGCCCCCAGTAGTGCAGTTACACGATGATCCGTCACCACCGCAAACTCGACAGTCATCATAAACCGCATTAGAATTCAGAACACCATCGCAACCAAATTTCTGGATTTAAAATTAAAATGAAAATGTCACACTGATCTGTATGAAAAAGATCTATGATTTCAACCTTACATAAAATAGTAGCAATTTGCCAAAATACAAAGCCCTCACTATTGTGTCGCTATTGCAACATGTAACTCAAATGAAGAATAAAACGAAAATCCTTTCCGTGGATACGAAAAAAACTGTGTTAAATTCTGTGATCACCCAAGAAACGTATGCATGTTTATTTTTGTCAAGATGTTGGGCGTTATTATGACAAAGAGTGAGATAAAATCTGCCGTAGGGGGTAGTTGAAGTTCACCAAAACTTAGAGTCCAGTGGTATGTCCAGCATGGGTTAAAAGTCCCCTCTCCTGTTTGAAGGTCCAGAAAAAGAATCGATCATTTATATTGGGTCGACAGCACCGGGGCAGCCTACATACCCCTCCACCATCCACTTGGCATAAATGTGTCAATGTCTGGACACGCTGCTGTGAGTCTAAAATTTCTGCGGATTAGGCGACGTGACAATAATCCAGGCCTGATAATTTCCCGATTTTTCCCGATTTTTTTTTCCTTCCGATAATTCCTTTTTTGTCTCTTCCCCCCCCCCCCCTCTTTTCCCCCTCTTTTTGCCCAATTTTCTATCTCAAAGGGGGGGGGATTTATTGTTAGATGCCTTCTTTTTTTTTACTCAAGGGGGGGGGGGGCCTTAGTTGAGGGGAAAAAACACCTTTTTTCAGTGCTCACTACCATCCCTGCACTAATCACTGATTTATAAATATATCAAACAAATAATTAAAATTGTATACCCCTACGTTATGGTAATATACAAATCATAATTGAACAAAATTAAATAAAAATATCCTTGAGAGTTCACTTCTTCACGGTTTCAATTTTACTTCTTTGTGAATTCAAAATTACACATTAAAACACGTGCAACAAAATATATACAAGCCGATTACGCAAAAATGGCGCTATGCTTATATAATGTATTGTGAAATCATAGTAAAAAATATTTTGATGTATTGATATATTGTATCAATATTTTATTGTCATGATATATTGTAAAAAAATATATAATTTTGATAATATACTGATAGAATATATAAATATATTATCGTCATGGTATTTTGTTTTAAACACATTACATGTTCAATTAAGTACAAATGGATTGAAATGACATAATTTTAAATATGATGTAACAATACATGATATAAATATACCGTTGCCAATCAACGTGCCACTTTAGCTCAATGCACTTGCACGCATTGTTTGTATTTAGTCTGTTGCACTTGTGTGTAATTTGTAATTTTGAATTCACTATCTAAAGAAAAGAAAATCGAAACCGGTCAAAGTGAAGAAGTGAACGCTCAAGGATTTTTTTAATTTCAATTATAGTCCTACACTTGTAGCGTGCATTTACCTGACAGCGTCCACCGATGCACAACTGTGTTGATTTCACATCAGTCCCATCCTCATCCCAACACTGCGTGCCATCGCAGAAATCTCCCGGTCTGTCATTAATTGTGAAGGAACTTGACACTGTCGGTGTTCGGCAAGTTAGCTGGCACAATTCATTTCCTGCGAGGAAGAAATATTTCACTCACACATTTAAAATGTAAATAAATACATTTGAACTTAATATTGGAGGTTCTTATTTCGGAGTGCGAAAAATATCTAGTATCTTTCGAAAAAAATCTATATAAAACAAAAATGATTTGTTTTCTTTCTCTTGATCCATGATACATCATTTCTAGAAAAGCCAATGCATAATATCCTTAAAATAAACAACCTTAATATACACGTTTTTTAAGAGCAAGCACTTGTAAGCTTCGACAAATCTTTAATATGAGGGGCGATCTCCCGACGACCAAACCAATTGATGTATCAAATGTGTTGGTGATTGGTACGCATTAAAGATAAAGTTGAGTTCTGGTCATGCGATTGCATTGTGAAAGAAACGGTGTGGAATCGATCAGAAAAGGTTGATCATCTAGCATATAAGTATTGGTGTGTACTGCATGGTTCTGGAATCATCAAAATGATAAGAAATTTGGCCCAGTCTTCGTAAAGTTACAAGCACTGTACACAGAAATATGTATATGGGACTACACGAACACGTGGCGTAAAAATCCTACCCTGGATTTTTACGATGTAACATAACATATTTAGAATATGGAGGCATTTGAAGAGCCATGCTTTTCAGGGAACATGTCTTATCTGATGTTCTTCCACACTTTCATAATAAGAATGATAACGCTCACAAATTATTTTTCACCTCTTCCCAGAACTCGACCTTCTCTTTAAACCTACCTGTGAAGATTGGGTAGTCCATCCAGCTGTACGTATTGCCGTTCAGTGGGATTGAATTTGTTGCAGCACATTGCTCATTACGGAAGTCATCCTGCGAAGTTGCGCATGGCTGTAAATAAATATCGATGAGACACTTTATAAGCCTTCGAAACTGTTTCAATAGACAAGGTAAGGGGTCCACTTTTGGAACCCGTCATAAGGCTAACTTCTTGGACATCTCGTTGAACATGTTTCATAGAATTAACAGGCGTTTCTATGGGATGTTCACGAACTTTAAACTTCTGACGATTTCGAGAATTTGGCCCCTGTGTACTAATTACATGCATACTGCTTGAACAAAAGTTTCTCTTAACGATTAAAATGTTTGCCAGAGGCATGTCAGACGCAGCAACATTTAATGTGTGCAAATGGACTCCGTAAATACAGATGTCATTCTGTATATAGCAGGTAAATCTACAGTTAGTATCCATGGGTTCTGGAGTGAAACATGTATTTAAATAGTTAACATGTCTGTTCATTCAAATCAAGGATATCCCAGTTAATCGCGTATGGCTAGATTTACTGTCATGAGGATTAATGTAAAAATAGTACCAACTTTTTTGGGAGAGAAGAGGATATTGTCAGAGGGCGAGATTCAACCACCCCGCAACTGAACCCTGCAATTCAAACATTTTATTAAGGACTTTGAATGAAATTAAAGATCTTCGATATGTGTTAGGTTTTATGGGGTTCAATCAAGGGGCGGCAACAAATCCTTGCTAATTGATTAACACCAGGCACGGATCCACGGGGGGGGGGGGGGGGCGACGGGCCCGCTCCCCTGGCTTTACACTACCCCCCCCCCTCCCCTCCCCCCACTGAGCGAAAAACAGTCTGCGCACTTTTCGAATTCCCGGGAGCAAAAATGAAAAAAATTATAATGCTCACTATCCCCCCCCCCCCCCCCCCCCCCCCCCCCCCCCGCTTATTCAGCGGCCGGCTGAGTCGTTTCGAAATTTTCTGTCTAAAAAAAAAGTGCTCTTACCCCCCCTTAAGATCTATACCGACCTCATTATTAACCCACAAGATTGAGCTTTTAACATTAAACAAAATCCTGTTTATGCAATTTTCGAAGAGAGGCTGTCAAGTGCCATGTTGTGAGTGTACATGTTGCATTGTCTGGCTCTGAAAATTGGACATTTAGAAGAGCAGAGGAAGGGTTGATTAACAGTTTGGAAATGTGGTTGTGAAGAAGAATGGAAGGAATTAATTGGAGGGACATGATCACAAATAAAGAAGTACTGCATAGAGTAATTGAACAAAGGCACCTTAGAAAAAATACTCTGAAGACGGACGAAAAACTTGATAGGACACATATTACGGGGGGATAACTTGGTCAGAGGCATATTTGAAGGGAAGATTGGTAGTTCGAGTTCGATTTTAAGTTCAAGATAGTATACATGTAGTAGTAAACGTGATAGACCAAGAATTTGGATGGTGTAAGACAGTGGCGTACGCGATTTTTTCAAGGGGGGGTTTTAACATTTTGAAATCGGACCGAAAATTTCGCAACGATTCAGTCAGCCGCTCAATAAGCGGGGGGGGGGGGGGGGGGGGGTTGGGTTGAGGACACTTTTTTTTTGTCTTTTTGGTCTCGAAATTTGATAATTTGACATTTTTCTTCGTTGGGGGGGGGGGGGGGGGGGGGGTAAGGTCACCTTTTTAAGGTCAGCCATGGGCATAATTTACCAAAATACCAAAGGGGGGGGTTAACCCCCTAACCGCCCCCCCCCCCCCCCCCCCCTGCGAACGCGCCTGGTGTCAGACTTGATAGGAGAAAGATGGTGCGAAATAAGGAAGAAGAAGGCTAAAAATAGAGAGGGATGGAGAGAGAACTCAATATGGCTCTGGTGTATGGACCTGCTTTTGCAGAAAATCTGAGACAGAGAGAGAGAGAGAGAGAGGGAGAGAGACAGAGAGAGAGACAGAGGGACAGAGATATTGTATGAATGGCTAGGTGATATTCGTTTAGTTCGTATCGTTAGATATAGAATGCACAATTGGCACTGATTATCAGTTATTTTAATGAAATAAAAGTTGTAAGGTTTTACCTCCTCATTACACAGCATGTAGATTTGGCTTTCTCCAACGCAAGGCATTCCTCCCCATTGTGGGTTGGGATTGGTACAGGTTCGACTCTGAAGTTGAACCCCTGTCCCACATGTTCGCGAGCAGGATGAGAAGCTACTGTATTCTGTCCACCCGCCATCGACAGGTATAGTGACGTTCAGTGTGTTATTAACGCATTCTGCATTTATGCACCACTAGGGAAATAAGGTAAAATATATAAATATCTTAAATTAGGAACAATGTTAAGTCAATAAAGTACTAAATAATTTCCCCCGATTCTTTTAGTCGTTTATTTTGTTGCTGTACATGAGATTTACGCAGGCATCTCGGGAATTCCGATAAATCCACTGTAATTCCAGAAAGTCTGCCTTCAGTTTTAAGGATGAAGTTGACCTACTGGTCAAGGAACTGTAAAAGAAACTGTCTAGAAGCAATTGAGAAGGGCTGATTATGTAGGGAATAAGCACTGATGTATGCTAAGATGCTTAGGAATGATCAAAAGAATTAAAAAAGGAATAATATTCAATCGTGTACTACACAAAAAAGTGGGTAACATAGTAATTTGCGTGAACGTTCCGTCCTAATACACCAACTATTTCTCGTCGTATTTCGAAGAAGAAGGCAGTTGAAGAACGATTCTTTCTAGAGAACATTTTTTACTAATTACATTTCCTTCTATGATTGATATTCCTTCAAAATAGCAAACAAGAGTAAATCTAGCTCACAAGTCATATTTCAACTTTACTGCAACCTTTCTTAAAATAAATATAAGTGATGATACGAATTCGTTATAAACGAATAATACTTAGGTTCACACGAGAATCCGTAAACGTTAGTGTATCGCGTGGTTTTTTAACTTCGAGGATATTTGTAGTTGCGAAACGTGTGGACGTACTTATGGTAACAAAACGTTAAGTTTAATCGAAGCTATTAAAGGGATGGTTGAGTTCTGTTTTCATACTGCAAATGCCTTCAAAGTGCATGGTTATTGCTCTTTTTCTTATCTATAACATTTCTAATGCCTTTTTAGAACTTAAAATTGCTATGAAGGTAATTTTAGACCCCAAATGTGTGAAATTTAGCCAATACGAGCATACCAATTCAGCTCCACTTTAAAAAAAAAACATGGTGACCGTTAATTAATTATTTAATTAAAAATAAAAATACATGGGCCGGCTGGTTGTGCGTAATATAAGCAACACGAAAATGCCAACAAAAAAACCAACATCGGCATTGGCTGAAATACGACGTAAAAGGCGTTATTCCGTTTTTTTCAACGGTTTTTTCAAATTTTTCAAACTATCTAATATTTGTGGTGGTACACAAGTATTAGAAATCGTTATATTTCAACCGTCTCTGAACCGATTTTGATCAAACAAAGATGATTTTGTCATTTAAATATTATGTTCTTTCAAATTTGACAATCAGTTTTTCAATATCTCACAACAAAATTATTTTGTGTAGCGCCCTCTGCAACAGAACTCAACTATCCTTTAAGGAGCCCAGGGGGTCCACATTCGAATTTGATGTGCCGTGTGGACGCAACTACTACTCTGTAAACTGGTGTAACAGGGTCTCTGTAATACAGCGACTGCTTGCTTGGTATGCTCGGTTTACACATTGGAAGACTCGTTGCTCGGGTCCCGTGTGAACCCTCGTCGTTGTGAGTGGATCGTTGTTTAAAACTCCGAGGTTTCGCAAACTTAAAAGTTAAAAATACAACGATCTCAAGTGAATATCCCTGATGAACCATAAACTTACCATTCCTTCTCCACATGAAGTTCCTTCGGCAGGTAGGCCATGGCCGGAACAAGATGAGGAGCCCGAACACTACACCAAAGTTTAGTGCAAGATGTTGTCTGTATGAAAAGAAAGGGATAAATAATAAATCTTCATTGTTAGACTTACTCGGGAGAAGGAGCTGCCATCTTTATTTGGTATGTACCATTTAAGCTTTCAATATAATTTCAGAATACCCATTAATCATTGCATGTATTTTATGCGTCATGTTTACTTCGCTTCAGATTTTATTCATTTCATCACTTTAAACACAGTATGTTTATGTTATACGATTGGTCTTAAGTTGATTAGTATTTCCTTTTTCAAAAAGTGAAATTAATTTTTATCCCTGCTGAAAATCGTAAAGTTCATGGTCATAAATTATTTACATTAATTACAAAGAAATCACAATAGTTTATTTTGTATAAATATGTTTGGAGAGAACAACATAAATAGTCTCACAAGAGAAAGATCACATTATCATGCTTCATCTTTACCATGCTACCTTGGATACTGGACTAGTGAACTTTCTGCCTTAGCGTACTTTTCATTGCACAGCGCCATCTCACGGTCCACTGGCCAAAGTTCGAATCCAATACCTAATTTCCACAGAGGACTCGATGCGAGAACCAACAGCGCTGCTAGGGATGCCCAGATTTACCGGACCATAATGCTACAGCTTACCTGAGATGAAGCTAGAGGGGATTTGGCAGTATTGCTTTAAACCTAGCGCTGGATTGATGTTTGTAGAATACATGGCATTGTTTTACGAAACCGTCATAAGTACAAGTTCGCCGACATTCCATCAAAACTCGTGTTAATTTGATAAACGCATTTCAATTGACGTCGGCCACCTTACAACGGTTTCCTGAAACGCTTTTCGGACCTACAAGTTTGAAAGGTTGATAATATATATGCTTACCAAAAAAGTGCACCTGTGGGCGGTTGGAATGCTCAATTCCATTTGACACTGCATGTCTGCACTATATCTCAGACCCGGGAGATCGTCGATGGGAGACAGATCGAAAATAGGAACATCATCCATGCACACTTCGGAACTGAAATTAAGAAAACTCCTTTTACCATTAACATGAAATGGGGCTATACGAAATTAATGTGCATTGCTCTAACTTGACCACGGTGACATAATTTGAAATCGGTAGTAAGACACTTACGAAAACTTGGCTAACTTAGAGATAGCGCTTAATAACTACAGGTATTTATTATCAGGATTATTATAATAATTACTATCAGTAGTAACAGTATAGTAGTATTAGTATTAGTAGTAGTAGTAGTAGTAGCAGTAGTAGTAGTAGTAGTAGTAGTAGTAGTGGTGGAAGTAGTAATAGTACTAGCATCATCATCTTCATCATTTTCATGATAATTATAAAATCAAATCATCGCCATTATTATCAATATAATTATTACTACTCTTCCTTTACTTATATTGACAAATTAAATTACAGGTAAAAAATATAATGTATGGTTGGATATACCTTAAAGGTACATGTATAGATCAGTTCTGGTCATGCGGTAAATTAAAGTTACAAGCACTGAACACAGAAAGATGTATATGGGACTACGCGATATCTATCCAGGCCGGAAAGATAAGATAATTCACCAAATATATCAATTAGTAGGCGGTTTCCGGCAAAATTTGTATCATCATGTATTAGTCAAAACATATTCTTTCACATGGTTGGTAATAAGAGCTTCCATTTCATTTTTTGAGAGGGGGGCGTTTCAAAAACAGGTCTATACCTTTAACAATAAGCATTTTTTCAAAATCTTTTTAAATTGATACGAGATACAGTGTTACTGAGCAACTAACTTTTACATTTACCTGTTATAATTATGTGCAATTTGCATTCCGTCTATTGAGATTGAGATCATAACAGATGAATGAAATAATCTGTAAATAAACGCCCTTCACAAAGAGGTATGCATTTAATTTGATTACATTGCCAAAACGGCCTGTTGACTCCGTGCATTGTGTAAAGTGTATCCAACACTTGACAGATTGTGTGAGAACGTTTTGACACTTCTGACACTCGATATTAAACCGAACTTATACCCAGCGTCGGGTATAAAATATCTATCGAATACACGGAGCTACAAGTCTATGATATATGTCATAAACTGCTAGCGCTGTGTAGTAGAAGCACTGTGATATATTGCTGAAAGCCCATGATTCTCATATCCCGGGTTCGATCCTCGTTCATGCTTATATCCTTGGACAGGGTATTTTGCCAACGTTATCCTTCTCGACCCAGGGGGTGTTTCACAAAGATCCTAAGTTGAACTTATCTCTAAGTTGGACTTAAAAATTATGGAAAGCCACTAGCATCTTTGAAAATATTTTGTAAAAGTTATTTTGAAAGGCATTAATTGTTTATTCAAATCATTCATATTTTCTATCATCAAGGAGATTTCATGTTCTGGATGTGGAATTTATAAAAAGTCTAAAATACTTGAATTTCTGCTTTTGAATATATTTCATTTTAAGACTCCAATGGCTGTCCATAATTTTTAAGTCCAACTTAGAGTTAAGTTCTACTTAGGATCTTTGTGAAACACCCCCAGGTGTTATAATATATCTACCTTGTAATGCTGGGGTAATAAATAATAATAATAAAAACGTTACTTATAAAGCGCAAATAAACATACAAAGTACAATACATATGGAATACACGTCAAAGTGAACAGAGTTAATTAATCATCGAACGCAATTTTGAATAAATGTGTCTTAAGACTAGTTTTGAATAGGTTAACGGTTTGACAGTTTTTTACATTTGAAGGTAATCTGTTCCAAAGTTCAGCAGAAGCTTTGCGACAGGAGCGATTACCATAAGAAAGAGTTGACACAGAAGTAAATACAAGGTTTAATTGTGAAGATGACCGTAAACTGCGTGAGGGTTTGTATTCCTCGATTAATTCTTGCAGATAAATTGGTGCCAATTCATGAATGCATTTATAAGTTAAAACTAAGATTTTGTACATAATGCGGTACGTCACAGGCAACCAATTCAATTCGCGAAGTACTGGGGTGATGTGTTCACAAGAACGCGTGCGTGTTACAAACCTGGCAGCAGAGTTTTGGATTCTCTGGAGTTTTGCAATGTGCGAGTCCGGAAGGCCATAAAGAAGGCTATTGCATTGATCAAGACGGCATGTAATAAATGTAAGTATAAGCGTTTCGGTAGATTTTTGATCAAGAAAATTTCTTATACGACCTATCTTGTACAAGGCATATGAAGCTGAGCGACAAACATTTTGTATATAATCATCCATCCTAAGATCATTTTCACAGATGGGACCAAGGTTACGTGCACTTTTGACAGGTTGTATCGGAACATTAGCAATTTCGACAGATGGTAAATGGGAGGACTTTCTGAATCGAGATGTTACATGTATAACCTCAGTTTTATCCTCATTTAACTTCAAATCATTAGCAGTGGACCAAGCTTTGATATCATTTATACATCTTTCAAGTTTAGTAATAACAGAATGGTCGGAATCGCGTTTCAAAACAACTTTGGATGTCATCTGCATATATCATTCGGCCTAAACCATGCGCGTCAATAATATCTTCAAGTGGTGCAGTGTACATAGTAAATGATAAAGGGCCGATGACGGATCCCTGAGGAACACCTTCAAGTGGAACATGAGGTTTGGATAATGAGTCATTAATGACAATAGATTGTGAACGATTCATAAAGTATGTTTTAAACTGGACAGAAATAACCGTCTGATATGGGTCATTTCTTTAATAAAACTGACATTTGTTGACATTCCCCATATACCCAGAGATCTCGTACCATGGTGGTAATCTGGCCAATCCAGCTGCCACTTATGGTTATAGAGCTTTCTCCCCGATTTTCACTATTTAGATCTAATTTTCTGATTTATAAATCAGATATAAATTAAGTATATGTATTGTAATCATATTTACACTAAATAATAATTATTGACCTATCATACAAATGCGAAATTTTTGGACTTATATGATTTATCCATTTTTTTCTCCGAACCGTGAAACGTACCGTTCATCCATTCAAATTAGTAATCTATGACTTCACCCGGCCGATATATTTCCGGGTCAACCTACCAAAACATAGCGAATGGCCAATCAGAGCACTCGTTTCGTATTGGGTTTATGAATATTCATATATCACTGGGTTGACTCGTACGTAGCTATTGGACGTTCGAAAAGAAAAAATGAATATTCATTAATTAAAACCAAGATGGATGACAACGAATCATGTCGACTACGAGACTTTCTCGGATTAATCATTAATTTAGGATATAAATGAGCAAGCTATCGTAAGTCAAAGCCATATTTGTTTGTTATTTTTTATATTTTTATTAGCCTAATGTTATATTGCAGCAAAAGTGCATTTATGAGGATGTAAAGAGTGAAAATCTCGTTGCATATCTCACTCATCGCGGTCCTGCCGAACCGAACCATTTGATCCACTAGTACGGCATAGGCCGTACTTCAGTCTATGTAAAGAGGCGGTCAGTGGAGCCAGATGCAATCTCAGCGGAACCACCGTTGATATCAGAGACTGAAGCTTTCGGTCTAGTTTTAAACCAATTCAAGACAGTACCTGATACACCATATATATTACGTAAGCGATCAAGAAAAACATCATGACTGATAGTATCGAAAGTCGCAGAATAGTCTATAAATATTAAAACAGCCTCATCACCTTGGTCCACAGCTAACAACAAATCATTATATACACGTAAACGAGCAGTTTCAACGCTATTAGAAGATCTATAAGCAGATTGCATTTTACTACACAGATTGTTTGATGATAGATAGCCCTGAATTTGAGAAGCACAAGCACGTTCAATTGTTTTAGCAAGAAACTTAAGGTTGGCAACAGGCCGATAGTTTTTCAAAATTTCACAATCCAAATTTGGTTTCTTCAAAAGAGGAGTGATTTGTGCCGATTCAAAACATCGGGAAATTGACCACTTTGAATAGCCATGTTTATAATGTTGGTAATGACTGGTACAAGCTCATCTAAACAGTTCTTAAGCAGCCATATCGGCATTGGATCGAGACTACATGAAGTTGATGGAGATTTCATTATTATAACTCTAACAGTATCCTCTGATACTGGTGAACATTCAGGAAATGAAGAATTGCATGAATCAAGCATGGATATGGAAACATCCGTTTTTGATGAATCCTTAAGAACATTTTTGATACTCCGAATTTTGTCTTTTAATAAAAAAGTCAGAAAAACGTTCAGCAAGTGAAAGATCAGAATCGTCAGAAGGTAACACCTTGGATACTTTTGGTGTGCACAATTTGTTGACTTTTTGAAATAGCTGCTTTGAATTACAACCTTCAAATTGTTTAGAATGATGGTTTTGTTTAGATTGTTTGATCATGCGATTATATTCATAACATTGGTTTTTGAAAATTTGACTGTCAATTTCTAATTTAGAAGCAATCCAACGTCGCTCAAGGCGTCTTAAGATCCGTTTCATTTCATGTAACTTTTCTTTGAACCAAGGTGCGTTAGGACGACACCTGATTGTACGAGTTATTAAAGGTGCGTGCTTGTCCTTAAGGTCATTTAGAACAGAGTCATATTGACAAACAAAGTCCAATTCAGATCCGGGAGATTTATACAGAGGTGAATTTAATATATCAGTGCGAAAGACATTAATATCAATATCACGAAATTTACGAAAAGAGATTTTGATTTTTGCTGGTTTTGGTCGCTCAATATTCAAATTACATATCACAGCAGAATGATCAGACGGCAAATAACTGGTAGTATTTAAATTTGAGACAAAGTTATCAGTATTTCGAGTTAGGATGAGGTCAACAGTGTGTCCATCTTTGTGGGTGGGTCCAGTTACATATTGAGTAAGTCCAGCGGAGGTTATGAGATCTGTAAAAATAGTAGCCTCTCTATCAGTCGAGTCATCTACATGAAAGTTGAAGTCTCCGGCGATGAGAAGTAAACCAGGTATAGATGCAATATCCTCCAAGAAGGTGCCAAACTCACGAAAGAAAATCGGTGCCAAATGCTGCTTATCTTTTGTTTTTTGAGGCCGATAAAGAATGATGAGGCGAAGAGGTTTTAGGGAGTTAGATTGTACAGCCAAATCGATATATTCAAAAGAATTGAATGATTGAAGTTCGGTTTTGTGAATTTTGAAGGAAGAACGAAGAAGCACACATACACCACCACCTTCCCTTCTAATACGTGGGATGTGATGTATGTCATAATTTGGGAGAGTTGTAGTAAGATCGGCAATGGGTGGGTCAGAGTGGTCGCTTGTAAGGCGCTTCTCCTCTTTTTTTTTTAATAAGCCTCCTCGGAAAGGGCACTGTTGATAATGATAAGGCTACTCTAGCTGGGAAAATAAGACCAAATTGCCATCATTTTTTAATAACTCACCTGATAGATATTTTCATGTGTTCTGAACTGCAGGTTGACCATTCGAACGCACCAGTGCTTGAGGGGAGAGATGCAGACATGATGTTACGTCCTTCAGCACAGCCGTACGTTCCATCGTGATTTAATCCAAGTCTAATGAAAAGAAAGATGCCAACCGACGAATCGCAATTAATCAGTCATTTTGGACACATGATCGGTTAACATCATTGTATCAATAACAAAAAGTTTAAGTTAAATACATCACACACAACAATATATAATAATACCGATTACGATGTACATATAAATCATCAGTGTCTCTACAGGTTACATTTATTTTATGTGTTTGTTTTTCTGTGTTCGCTTTCAATTTCAATTTCAATTTATTCATGTTTCCAACAAAACATTACACATCAATTATAAGCATTTAAAACAAATGTAAGAAATACATGTTGGAAACAGAGGGGTCCATTAGCTACTCAATACTGATGATCATTGATTAACATAAAAATCTGATTTTAATATGGACTTTAACCGTACTTTATATTTGGTCTGATCCATGCCACAGTAGTGATATACAAAATATAGTCAATAGGTTGTACATTTAAATATCTTTCAATTTAGGAGTAACATATGGAACAAAATACCAAAGAATTTCGTAACTACAACAAAATAAGTAGTGTTACAAACTTTTTGGATAATGGGACCTAATTCATGTTTTATGTAGTTAAATGGGTCTATCAAATCGATTAAAAATATAATTAAAGCCATCTATTTTATGCCATTTAATGTGGTGAATTAAAACATGTTCAATTAAGACAGACTGCCAATGACAAAAAGTGATAACTCGAGTCCATCGTAAAGGCAAGAAGTCAAAACCAAATGGACTTTTTGTGTAGCTTTGGGCATCGTCTAAAAAAATTGTCCTAAGTTAACCATCATCCTATAATGATACGCGTATCAGATGTGTTTTTTGCGAAATTGTACTTATGACGGTTTGATGAAATGCTGCCTTGATCTTTAAACCACTATGCACAACAAAAAAACACAACCACACACGCAGACAAACCACACTTGTACCCTAGTCGTACCAACGAAACCGACTCCGGAACGACAACAGACTGAACGTTCATCCACACATGTCGAACGGCCAAGAATCGGTTGGCTTGGAGTCGGTTTGGACTTTGGAGTCTGATCTGGAGTTGCGACTGAGGTATATAATAACACCCCAGTTACCAACGAGACTGGCATAAAACCTACCGCTGACGGTCACTTTTCCATCAATATCAACTATAATACCAACATCACACAACGGCCAATCGAATCAAGGTTTCCACGGAAGTCGCCACCATTACTTTTCACGCACCAAAATCCGGCTCGTATTACACAAAAAATCCGGCCCGTATTGACTTTACACACCGGTTGTTGTTGTTGGTAAATGTTTTCTGGCGTTCATTCAGTATAGAATATATACGCCATAAATATCTTCAATTTTATAAGAAAATCAGTTATAGTCTTCATAAAAGAACTGAGAATAAAGATTTGTAATGAAATATTTAATTAATAAGTAACGCAATTTATTAGGAGTCTCTGGATGGTTTGCAACTTAGTGTTTCTGCTTTTTTTTAAAGTTTAATCTGGTCAGCCCGGTTTCGATTGCGTTGAAACTAGCTTTGCCCGATTTGAAATAGGCTTCTCGGCTACTCGGCGTGCGTGCGCATTGATCTTTTTATTTTGTAACGCACGGTGCCTAGACCACTCAGAAACACATAAACACTAAATTGAGACACATCGTACAGAGGCGCTCCTGAAACCGAATTTCCAATCCATTCAAGTAAATTGTTATACAAATCTTATCACAAAGTCATTATCATTATCATCATTATCATCATTACACACTGGACTTAGGGGGTGTTTTCAAAAGGAGGGAACACGCATATGCGTACCCTAAATTACACTGAGTGGGGGGGGGGCGGGCCCACATCAGACCGACAATAGAATGACAATAGACCCACAAACAGACCCACATCAGACCGACAATAGACTGGCAATAGACCCACAAACAGACCCACATCAGACCGACAATAGACCCACAAACAGACCCACAAACAGACCCACATCAGACCGACAATAGACTGACAATATAGACCCACAAACAGACCCACATCAGACCGACAATTGACTGACAATAGACCCACAAACAGACCCACATCAGACCGACAATAGACCCACAAACAGACCCACAAACAGACCCACATCAGACCGACAGCAGACGGACAACAGACCGAACAGAACATTACATTTGGGCCTTCCATGAATGGCCAAGAACCGATCGGTTTGGAGTCGGTGCGGAGTCATATATGCTGTCTGACTGAGTTCATCAATACCTCCTTGCTATCTCGTTGTAAACGCAAGAAAGCTCACTCATCGAATGCTAATTTGCACTTTTTGTCTATTAAAGTACAAGGAGATCGCAGACTTTAGCTTTCGTTCTCTTCTTTTCAAATTTTGTGTTGTAGTTTTGTTTCTCTTTTTTTATTTTATTTTTTATTTTGGTTTACTTACGAGTGCCCTGTTTCATGAGCCATAACTAGTCCGGCTCCAAATCCGTAATCCTCGTTGATAGAACACTTAGTGTCCAGGTCACAGACTCCAGTTACATATGCAAGTCCCAGCAGCCCCGTGTCAACACCATCGGAAGCGATGTCGTGACTATTAAAGACCGAAGCGGTGAGAGAGAGAGAGAGAGAGGGGGGGGGGGGGGGAGAAAAGGGAAAATATCATTGTGTGAACCATGACCATAAGAACTTTATATGAAAGACCTGAAATTAATCGGAAGAAATTTGTTGCTGTACGCTTACACAGAAACCATACAAACCAACTACCTTTCAGTACAACAATGAAAGAAAAAGATAAATGTTGTCGACTTTTTATATTGTTCACACTCGATGGTAAACTGAATGTTCTGCTGCTTTTTTTTGTTGCTTTTAAGCTAATTTAAATTTTGTCGAGGGAGTCAGACTTACGTGGTCAAAAAATGTTTGGTTTGATAAATGCAGGTTTTTCCCTCATAGATATTCCATATGCCTTTATAATAAATAATTATATTGCTTATATAGCGCCTAACACTTACTTTATCAGAAGTCTCTAAGCGCTCTACAATAATGGAGCATAATTACCCTGGCTTTAGCAATGCAGCTGTTATGCGCGCTGCGTTTCAAGAAGTAAATTCCTACCAGGTTCCCATTTACTTCACCTGGGTGTAGTGTGGCAAATGCACCACTAATCTATGTAAAGTACTGCAGTTGGGGTTTCCTTTTAGGTAAATATATGAGGGTTTATTTCAGAGCCAGAACGGTGTGTACTTGGTATAAAGTATTTGAGTTAACACCCTTCTGGCTCCAAAACAGACAAATAGCATTAACACATCCGCTTTGTTTAAAATTAAATTAATTGATCTCTTGATAACTTCATATACTTTCTATTTGTTTTACTGACCCTGTGAAAAGCATTGCTAGGTCCCAGTCGTCCGGATTCGAGTCATTGTTGACGCTCTGAGCAGCCTGCCAAACGCAGAAATCGTCGAGGCTTGTATCTCCGTTATTAGTAGGCGTCATAGTTACTGGAGATCCACCGGTGTCAGTGGCCTATAGGCAATATCAATAAAAAAAAATAACTAAATTAATTGCGTTGTCAAAGGTTACCGGCGGATCCGACAGGGGTAGCCCCCCCCCCCCCCCCCCCACTGAAGGTGTACACATATTGGATCCAGGGGGCAAGTAGGGCAACCCCCTCCCCTCACCCATCAAAATCCCGACCTCTAGTATGAACGAAAATTTGCCCCCCCCCCCCCCATTGTGCCGTAACGGTATAAAATGTCGACCGAAAATGGACACATGGAAATTGTAACAACCCCTCTTGCGTATTGGAGTCATTTTCAGAGTAACTCCTCCCCATTACCGGCTGGAGAATCCTTGATCCGCCAAAGACCATACAGACAAATATATATTTTTATGTTAACAATTAAGCGATTATTTTTTCGATGTAAATCAGAACGAGTGGATAATTTCTCCACTTAAAGAACAATACTCATATGCAACATTTATAAATCGCTAAATACTAGCATGCTGCTAAGCGCACACGAAGATAACATGAATGAAAGGAGAGAGAAAGAGAGAGAGAAAAATAATTAGCGATACCAAAATATTGTACAGAAATTAATTCTCAGTAGTAGCTTGGGTTGTTAATCATTATATATTGACTTACAGTATATATATATATATATATATATTTATATATAATATTGATATTGTTAATATTATTAATTACATCTTGTCACGAAAGACAGAAACCATAAATATATTTATAATGTGCGCCAAGTTAAAGAATAAAGTAGGCCTACTGCTACCCAATAATTAGTTCAGATTCTGTCTGTTTTTATATATTTTTCAATCTTCAATAATCTATGTCCTCCTCTCTTGTGCCTCAGTCACACCTTCGCGTATTTGGCTTACGTATACTGCTTATTTATGGCAAACCATTTTTTCTTGATATCAAGAAATGTATTATTGATATCAAGAAATAGGAATAAATGTTAAAACGGCTTGCCATAAAAACGCAGCAATACGCAAGCCAAATACCCAAAGGTGTGGCCGAGGCATTTACACGCATCCCGCACGCACACATCCTGCGACCCACGAAATTACACCCGTCGAAAAAAAACTCCTGTTGAGAATACAAAGCAAGAACTGTCGCCGGCTTAGCGTTGAGGGTGTGTTATTTTTCAGGATTTGGCGCGACATGGAAACAGTCCAGCTAGGCAGTGGACTCCCCAATAATCCGTAGCAATAGAACATAATTCTACAGGATGGCAAGTACAATGTCATATTAAAGGGGTCCGGTAACTTTGTCTAAGATTCTGAAAACAAAATTCTGGATTTAGCTCATGCTGCAATGATAATTATATACCTTTAGGTCAGTCAGGAACCCCTTGACTTTTACAAGCCGATCGCCTGTCTCATTATCAGGATATTTATGATTGGAATTACACATTTTGAAAACCGTTTGTTTCATAACACTACAGTGTATTGGGGAAAATGAGTATCGTATGGTAAAACCCGTCACTCAAAGATTTTTACTTTTTTGAGGCACTTCTTGATCATTTTGAAGCGCAGTTTTTGTTAGGGCTTCAATATTACACCATATCACAAACACTGATAACACGTAGGGCCGTGTATCTCAGATTTAACATTGTTAAACGATCCCTTTAATGCTAGGACCTTGTCTTAGAATACCCCTTTTCATTGGTGACCAGTGAACCATAGAATCAGGAAAGGTATCACTGAAACCATTCAATTCCGCCTTTAGGTGATTTTTTTTTTGATCTGGTAAGAAATGATATTATATGGCCATATGGTGCCATCGTAATGCTGATAGAGGAAAGCTGCATTTAATTATTGTTGTATACAAAAGTAGAGCAATGAAGGGCAGCAGTAATTTTTAAATATGACCTTAGTTTATGGATATATCATAACCTCGTATATTGGATGAGTTTTCATGATTGTCACAATGCCCAAGGGTTGTAAAGGGGTTTATTTGATGTAAGTGAATAATAATACACGATCAATGGAAACAATAAATTCAATATGACAGGAGTTAAATATATAATATCTTACCATCAACGTTTCCGTCATTGAGATAAGAAGACGGACCACTGATATTCTCATGCTGATGTCAAGGCTAGGGTCTGCATAACGTCTGCTCATCTACGTTTCGCGGGGGAAGTAGGAGGAAAAACACAAAATTGCTAAAGTGAATGATCTTAACCCTTCAAAAAAGGTTTGGAAACTCGAGTTTGATCGATGATATCTCTCTTGACTGTCATGGGATAGTTATTGCTTTGTTTACTTTCATTACAAGGTACATGTATGTTTATTCCCCGTTACGATGACACCATATTTGTTACGATTTTGCAGCAATGGAATCAGCTGTATATCAGAATAAGAGGCAGGGTCAAAGGTGAAAAGTTACAAAATAGAGTGATAAGCACTGGTATTTTATAAAGTAGTGCAGTACACAGCAGCCCTGCACACTTCAAAGAAAGGAGAATGCATAGCCGAACAACCGCGGTGCAGTTTGCAACTTTTTACTACATGTGTACTATGTCAGTAAACGCAGACTGGGTAGTGGATATTATGGAAAATAATAAAAGATATTAATACAAACTATTGTTTAAAGAATAATATTAGAAGAAATATCTATTTCAAAAAAATTACATTGGTCTTCAGAGAGGCCCTGCAAAACATTAAACAAACAGAAGAGATTAAACAAAATTGAAGTACAATGTAACAATGTAACTAGGTGTTTTTTATTTTTTGTGTGGGGGGGGGGCAGGTCATATCATAAACATGGGCATATGTATCTGGCGAGCACATACAGTATGATACCCGTCATCATTAAAAAAAAAAAAAAAATAACTATTGCAATGCCTAATTGGGAGAGCAGAATATGTGTATGGTTTATACAGAGGTTTGTCATTAATACCATTATTTAAAATTAAGAAATAGGAACCATTAAAATAAATCAAGGAACAGTTCCTCTAAAAAAGGAATAGTTTCTCCAAAGGGGCTTACAATGTTTAGTATGGTTATGGCATAGCTCTCTGTATCATCCAAGTATTCATTGTAAACTAGACTGTCCACCACGTAGAAGATCTCCAGGAACTTGGCGCCGAGGTAGGGTCCCGTGTAGACAGTCTCATTGCCAGGAATCACTGTGCCATTCGCTGATGCACTGTTTGAATCGATTGTGACTGTGACTGGAGAAAGAAACATTGTAAAATTAATGTAAGATAAACCAAATGAACACAACCTGTCCTCTATACATTGACAAACACAGAACCGAGTATTTCAAAAGATCTTTCGGTTATCAAGGCTCCGTTATATGGAATGCATTACCCCCTTCTTTACGTTTATTAAACTCACTGGATTCATTAAAAAAACACTGGAAACTCCTTTCTCTCACAAAGTTTAAAATTTACTTAATACTGACATGAATATTATATCCCCCCCCCCCACCATTTATTTCAACATTATATCTTGTTTAATTTGTGTGTTCATTATAACTTATGTATGTATATATGTTTTTGATTATGTTTATACAGGGCCCCTTGGTCAAGCAGTGTTTTTTTAACTGAAAGGGCTACCCCGAATTTGTAGAAGAGTAACGCCTTGTTGATATATCACGTAATATTTTCACCAACCTACCTTTATCATTTTTCTACTTTCTTTCAGAGCAATTCGGTATCAGAGTTGGATTTTAACCTGACATAAATGTGTATATTAAGTGAACAGAAGTTGTTCAGGAGGCTTACATGGTTCTACTGGGCAGGAGGTGGCATCATCTGTAGATGGGCTACGTTTGTAGATGATGTGGAGTTTGACTGCATCTTCACTACTTCTCCTCTTCATCCTCTTCGCATGGTGCTCTTTGAGAGGTTCTATATGTAGCAGCTCATCTGCCACTGACAGTATTCCTCTCTGACAATGAAATGAAAACATTTTGGTACAGTATGGCAGCGAGTAATTCCATTTAGGATACTTGGCCTAGCTCCAACGAATATACATCTTTGTTACGAATATTTGTATCTAAATAGACAGAATGCAAATTGCAAACATTTGTTGTTGCAACATTGGACAAACAACTACGGTTGCCCTACTTAAAACAAGTAATGTATACAATGTGCATTCTGACTATTAAAACAATTATTAGTATTATTAGGAGTATTAGTACGAGATGAAATCATTTGTAACGAGGTACTCAATAAAAAAAGGAATACATTGCATTATGGAAATGGCATATTGGTTTTGTTAATGCTTGGATTGGGAGTTAGTTATTTTGCATTATCCTGGGTAGAAGTTAGACATTTGGTTACTCTAGGAAATATACTATAAATCATGATTCGTAAAATTACCCAAAGGTAGTGTTTAATGTCAGAGACCAAACGTCTTGACAATAAAGAGATTGTAGTATTTTCCTTTCAAATATTTTAGTTTGGAATCTTGGAGGAAAAAAAAGAAAGATAATAGTGAAATCTCAAAAATAATCCTATTGATATGTAAGGGGCAATTTCCCTTTTAACGTTGAAATAGGTCTTTAATAAAATACAACTAAAATATTTACCAATCCACTGCATGTGCTCAGAGCTCCCGTTGATCCTGTATGAGAGATTGACGTAGCGAAGAAATGGCAGTCTCTGGTCTGAACCGGTTCTTTCCTGATCGATCCATCCGGCTGTAGATATTCCACCTCCAGGTCGGGTCTCAGGAGCCAGCCATTTTGCTCAAGGACCACGTGATGCTCCTCATCGAATGCGGTGAAAGTGACTTTGTGAGCTTCATTGTCATTGGCTGAATCTACGCTTCGTTTTGATACTTTCGAGGGATCATGAACCAACGGCAAGATGATGTCATATTCTAAATTAAGAATGCATGAAGTTAAAAGTTATGGTAGAAAAGCTTCATCGTGTATTCAGAAAATTAACAACATGATGCGTTATTTGTTACAAATTCAATGTTTTTCCTCACGAAGTACTTTCATTATTTTCTATGTGACAGGTGAAATAATCTTGACTTCTTATAACAATATCATCACTTTATTACCATTAATTCATCTCAAGGAACAAAATCATGTAGGCCTAATATACATTTTGGTCAACTTTGGAACAGTTGGTCGCAATATGGCGTATATTCCTTCGTTTTGTTTGTGCCCAACAAAACTAGCAGTATTCCCCATAAGCAACTAGACCCGTGTTGGCAAAACTCGGTATATCGATGGCTCTGAAAAGGAGTGGATTGGGTTCTTGTCGAATTACGCACTTAAAATAATAATGAGGAAGGGGAATAAGACTTGAAGGCACCCATGACTCATTCAAAGTGTATGAAAGTAATTAGGATTTAGCCAAGATTAAGATTGATTTTCTTCAAATCTGATTTCATATTATCATTTATTCTGTTATTGATTAGGCCTATTTTTCCATATTTCGTTAATCGAAGGTTTTCATCAACAACAAAAGATCAAAGGCACAACCAATGACAATGTATGACTGTGCTCTTAAAACATAAATTAATATTTTAAAAAGATACACAGTGTAATAGCATATTCATGTAATATTTTTACTTCATAGTTAAAACCAGGTATGTTGTGAATGTATTGCATTACCTTGTTTGGTGTTGCATTGTGTGTGAGTTTGAACCTAGACCAACTTATCAGAAATCCAACATCACAAAAGTGACTATGGGATACTGACCTTTTATCTGTGCTTTCTTTGTGTAGGAATGAAGTTCCTCTTCAGTTAAAATGCCATGAAACTAGGAGACAAAGATGTAAATATAGGAGAACAATAATAATTATAAAAAACATGCGTGGAGTTGTTCTCTCTCTGTATATTATATCTCTCTCTCGCCTCTCCTTTCCTCCTTCCCTCCCCTACATCCCCTTTATTTCTCTTTCTTTTCTACTCACATCTCTTACCACTGTCTTACACCCCCCCTTTCCCCTCTCTTTCTCTCTCTTTTACAGTCACTCTTCTCCTCCACTTACCTACCACTCCCCTACACCCCTTTCTCTCTTCTCCCTCCCCTATCCTACCCCCTTGTCTCTCACCCTCTTCTCTCATTTATCTCTTTTCCCTTCCCTCCTATCCTCTCTCCCTCTCCCTCTTCTTCTTCCCTCCCCTATGTACTCCTGTATCCTCTCCCCCACCCCCTCTCTCTCTCCAGTTTACCTTACCCTCTTCATGAACAAATAATATTCCTTCATTTTTTCATTCAAGCTATGTCTCTTTACATTCCCTATCACTATGCACTGCGCAACCAACGATCAAACATAAAGTTACTTCCCTAATAAGTCGTTATACTCTTCATTGAGCTAATGTTATGAACAAAAGACATTGTATTCAATCAGGATGTTATTATTGTGTCTGTTCAGTATACCCAAACACTTGATGCACTGGCAGAAATATCAATCACTGGCTGAATATAATATAGTACAGGATTTAATAATAGGTAAGCAGTCACAATGCCATACCGACCCTAAACCGACCGATAAACGACAAAAGATATTTGGGGGTATTGTGACCAACTTTAAAGATAAAGACAAGTTATGGTCATGCGATTGCATTGTGAAAGAAAAGTTGAGAAATCATTCAGAAAAGGTTGATCATCTAGCATATAAGTATTGGTGAGCACTGCAAGGTTCTGAAATCATCAAAATGGTGAGAAATTTGGCCCAGTCTTGGTTAGGTTACAAGCACTGTACACAGAAATATGTGTATGGGATCTACGCGAAACATGCGCGACACCGTGACGTTCGCGATATCTATCCGGTCCAAATAGATATAATAATGTACCACATATATCAATTAGTAGGCGGTTTCTCGGCAAAATGTATATCATCACATATTAGTCAAAACATATTCTTTCACATGATTGGTAATAAGAGCTTCCATTTCATTTTTGAGAGGGGGCGTTTCCAATACTGGTCTTTACTTTAAAAAGTCATTATGTACCCACGCGCAGTCAGTTGTGTGTGAATAATGGAAGCGAATATGCAATGCATGGAGACATCGCAATGTTTGTTCTCACATTTTGAAGAGTAAACAGTAGTAAGCAGAACCTATCCGCCATATTAGTAACGTAAATTTGTGGTTAAATTGGCTTTTGTCTTGTGTCAGTCTGTTGTGGCTAGGGTATAAATGAAGGGAAGGTGGACAGTTTTCAATTAAAAATGATAGTCTATTTCAGATATCAGATACAAATCGTCAATGGAGTGGGAAACTCTCAAATCTATGCTATATCCTATTTTGTACCCCATTCCTTAGTGCACCGCATGAAAGGGAGTCCTTTTAAAAGGTGATACAAAGTTTTGGTATGGGGTCATGGATTTGGTTCAAATGAACATATTTGAAGCATATGCGATCCTACAATATTTAGTGATCGTTGTCGCGGTTGGAATCGAGTCTTAAACTCTTTATGATGTATAGCTCCCTCTCAAGGTAAAGATATTAATAAAGCTATAAAACAATGTTTCTTGACTAAAATCGACCGATTAGCTATTCACGCTAGGAAATTATATATCACAACTAAATATTCTGAGATTTTCATGGTCGCGCTATTTGAAATCTATCAAAATTTACCGGGAGCACCGGTAATATTGTATATTCAATTTTTCTCGAAAGCAGAAGTGTTTCAGGGGATATTTTTTCTAGGGCTTATAATACATCAACCTGGGCATCAAAATATATCGAAATTGTAAAGAATCACTATCCACCCAAAAAAATTCACAAAACTTTATAAAGTTCTGTAATATATATATTACCTTTACAATCAGCATGCCATAATGATGATGAAAGCATGTCATCAAACCAGGTCATCATGATTCTATGAACAGAGTTCAATTAATATTGTGGCTACTGTGGTAATCCCGTCTACCATACAATAATTATTTTTTATTGCCAAACCTCACCTATCATTCAGCCTTGAAAAATCCCAATTGCAATGAAAACCCACAGTGGGTGCAGTCAACCGACAATGAATTGAATAGAATTCTATCCAGTAGACTTGGCTTTGTCACCCTCCCGGCATACAAACCACCTTGTATTTGACATACTTTCCGGTGTCTGCGCAGGGACTGTGCCATATTTTTCTACATATCACTGGTAGAAAACTGGTGCGGGGAATCAACCCCTTTTTAACCCCACTTCATAAAAAAAATCTGCTCCTATATGTTTACAGAAATACTGTAAACATATAGGAGCAGATTTTTTTTAGATCTTACATTTACATCAAAGTTTGATATGTTGCCTATACTATAAATGGTGTTACTTGCTGTCTCATACAAGATTTAGTTTCTTTATATTGACACGTACATTTGTAGCATCACTATGTAAACATACAGTTTTCTCTTGTTAAGGATTTGTTTGATGTCCATAATATTGCACAGATACGTCAGAGATAATGATGTATCATCATATACTATGTTGGGGTAGATCCGGGTTCATATTTTGATATTCGAATTCTTCTTGTCATTGTAGAGATTATGATAAATGTGTGTGTGTGTGTGTGTGTGTGATGGGGGGTTGATGTCTGAGTGCAGGAATGTGGCTGATTTATACACATTTTTTCAACCAACCGTTCGTGATCATCAGGCTATTATCAATTTCCCCTCTATTTAAAGTTTTGTTTGATGCTGATAATACTGTACAGATACGTCAGGATGACGTATGTAAATCATTTGAATTCTATCAACGGTGGATCCAAGCTCATATTTTACTAATCGAATTTTCCTTCTTGTCATTGTAGAGATGATGATAAATGTGGGGTGTGGCCGCTTAATTTAAACTTGTTTGAAATTGATTATCATATGACCCCGAACTGCACTTTGTCTTCACACCTCAGACAAACCACCACATTAAACCCAAGACACACCGACTTCCAACCAACCTTTTCTCCACCATTCTGTGTAATGTAATTTTTTTGTCGGTCTTTCGTTGGTCTCGTTGGTGTGACTGATGTATCACATAGTTCTGGATACGTGAACCAGTCGGTAACAAATTTAGGAAACCTTGCACATTTTCCTGAAACAAAATTAGGTGTGTGTACGAAAGTGGAGGTTCACTTTAGGGAGGAGTCAACTTTGGCGTCACTTCATTCGAAGTGATAATCTACGCCAAGAATAGCAGAATCTACTCTCAAAAAATGTTATTTATTCACCACTTTCAAATGAATTCCACAAAGCTTTGCATTGGATTCAATTAAAAATGAAGTGATCCCGTGGAGGTGACGCGATAGCTCAGTCGTAGAGCAGTGGTCTCGTATAACCGGGAGGTCCCTGATTCGAAAGCGAGTCGATTCGCTAGTGTCCCCTGGTCAGTGGCGTACCTGGGGTACTCCGTCAGGGGGGGGGGGGGCAATCGACCGAAACAAACAAAAAGGGCGATGCTAATTTTCACTTCTGGCGAGCGAGCGAGCAAAAAAAAATCTTTAAGTAACGTTTGGTATATAAACTGATATTGTTGCAAGTTGGGGGTGGGAACATTCACTTGTTAGCGACGTTAATTTCATTTTTGTGCAAACGAGTGTAGCGAGCAAGAAAAAAATCACTTCTTTTTTAATAATTGCCACTTAAACTTGGTTCAATTGTCCCATGCAGGGCGCGGGAACAATATTGTGTTTAGGGTGATTTTATACCCATTTTAGCTAGCGAGCGAAAATACATCTTTCTCTCGATGAATTGCTATATAAAATTTGTTTCATTGTTGCAGGTAGGGGCGGGCACAATCGTGTTTAAGGCAATGTCAATCCCATTTTGGCGGGCAGGCAACCCCCTACATTTCTCTTTTTAATGATATTGTAGCAGGTTAGTGGTGGGCACATAATACCACGAGCTAGCGAGCGTAGCGAGCGAGAAAAAAAAAAATCACTTTTCTTTTATAGGGAAAATATGGTACATAAAACTTGGGTTCATTGTTCAATGTCAGGGACGTGATTATTAAAAGCGGTGTTATTTCTATTTTGGCGAGCGAGCGTAGCGAGCGAGCAAAAAAGAATCACTTCTCTTTTATAGGGAAAATATGGTATATAAACTTGGGTTCATTGTTCCATGTCAGGGACGTGATTATTAAAAGCGGTGTTTTTTTCTATTTTGGCGAGCGAGCGTAGCGAGCGAGCAAAATTTTTGTAATGATAATTGGTTCATAAATTTCAGATTTTTTTGTTGCAGGGCAGGGCTTACACAATCATGTCTAAGGTGATGTTAATTCCGTTTTGGCGAGCACGAGCACACCAAAACTTCTTTGAATAACGTTTGGTACATAATTATTAACTGGTTGTTGCAGGTTTGGGCGGGCACGTTAGCGGTGTCAATTTCATTTTGGCGAGCGAGCATAGCGAGCAAGCAAAAAAAATAAATTCTCTTTTAATAGAAATTAATAAATAAACTTGTTTTTATTGGTGCAGGTCAGGATGGACGCAATCGCGTTTAACGCGATTCAATTCCTTTTTGGCGAGAGGGCGAAAAAACTCTTCCATTTTTAATGATATTGTTGCAGGTCAAGGGTGGGCACTATTGTTTCCAAAGCAATGTCTATTCATTTTATTCGCGAGCGAGTGTAGCGAGCGAGAAAAATGAATTAGTCTCTTTTAGTAACATTTGGTACATATATTGTGTGTTATTGTTGCCATGGTTGCAGGTCGGGGCCCGTCGGGGCAGGCACAATTGTATTCTAGGCAATATTAATCCTTTTCTTTTTTTCAGGGGGACAAGCAAGTGAAAACATTTAATACAAAATAGGCTAGCAAGCAGTTCGCGCCAGCGAAGAGTTTCAAATTTGTTATATCACTTATATTTTCCTATTTTCATTTGTTTTAATTTTTCAGGGCCGTATGCGGAATATTTTTCTGGTGGGGGAGGGGAAAGATGCGTTAAAAGTTTTCGAAGAATCTCAAAAGCAAAAGGAGTGAAGGGAGTTCGAGCGACCGAACTGGTCATGAGGGTACTTTTGCATTTTCAAAAGTAGCATTGAAGGATTTGGTATAGGCCTACACTACATTTTCAGGAAAAAAACTGTACGTTTTCAAAATATCTGGGGTCAACTGCCCCCCCCCCCCTGGTGCATACGGCCATGATCTTTTTTTTTTTTTTAATTCCCCATTTTTATTCCTTTCCTTTTCTTTTCCCTTTTTCTTCCTTTTCTCTTCTTCTTCCTTTTTTCTTTCCTTTTTTTCCTTTTCTCTCTTTCTTTCCTTTTTTCTTCCCTTTTCCTTTTTTCCTTTTCTTCCCTTTTCCTTTTTTCTTTTTCTTTCCTTTTCCTTTCTTTTCTTTTCTTTCCCCTTTTTCTTTTTTTCCCCTGGAGCCCGTCAGGGGGGCACTCTGCCCCCCTGCCCCCCCCCCAATAGGTACGCCAGTGCCCCTGGTTGTTTATCTACAAGCATAGACCTGCTTTCTAAGCAGTCAGGTAAAACAAACAAACAAAAAAGCCTAGTATGACTAGTGAAAAGCCTGTTTCCACTCTTCTGCATTGAAAAGGTTTATAGCATTTTCTAGTTGATCTCAAAGAATAATATACATACAATACATTGCTTCCCTTAATGGTAATACAATGTAGGGCCAAGGGCGTATTTCGTTGACCTTGTTTCACGTGGATAGTTCACGATCACTATCGATATTAGGCCATGAAGTCTGAACTCTTACAACACCCAATGACTTTCCAAACCAATGTATGTGATCATCAGATCAATAGCCATGTGAACAATAATCTTTTCTATAATTCTTCGGGCAATTTTATTCACGAGTACACCAATCAAATGAAAACAGATCGATTTCTGGCTATTCGATGTAGTTCGTTCCATAAATTAGATAGTTACTCGATATTTAGTTATAAGGTGAAAATCATAAATATGTAAAATTACCAAGTGGATGAGAATATCAAAAAGGCGAATCGGTTACGCGACTCCAATGTTTTTGTTGATTGGAATATTATCAGAAATACAGTTGACTTTTAAGGTGATAATAGGATATTTTGGGAAAATGTAGTATTTAGGCAGTGTCCTTGCATTACATCAGGGTGATCAAAACTATCAAACAAACTGATCATTTAGCCCTTTCATCAGTTACATCATTGTTTGAACAAGTTGCATACATCTCTTTTTATAGTTATTGATTTATTTAATGATGCTTTGTTGCATAAAAATAGGCACAAAGTATCTGCAACGGGAATACTTTTCACTACGATTGTAACCTATTCTGTTTCAGGAAGGAAAACATAGCCATTCTCTGCACAAACGCATAGTTCAACACTCATGTACTTTCAAGAAAATTTCTATCAAATCTCAAAATAAAAAAATAAAGAAAATAAAAAATCAGTCTTCTTCTCTCCGTGAAAATCAACTCGTTATCAAGTATGAATTGACCTGACATGGATGAAGAAAAAGAAGAACTACAAAAAATAGACAAAAGAAGAAGAAGAAGGAGGAGAATGAGTAGGAGGAGGAAAAGACGTTAATATCATTCAACCTCAGTTCATTCAGAAAATATATTATATTGTAGATGTGGTCGCACCCCGGAACTTCAAAAATGGGCAGTTATTGAATAGACGAGTTCAATTGGCCTCAAATCGATTGTTAATCTTCAATATTGCGACAAACAGCGTCAATGAATGACAAAAAAGGTTGAAATAAAAAAACTTTGGTGTTACCCGTTCTGCCTTAATAGAGTGTACGATCAAATAGCTTTGTGTTGCCTTTTGACAAACATCAACAACAACAACACTGTTCGCATATTCCAGTTTCATCATAACAAAATTTATATGCTTGCTGCAAATATCGATCAACTTTTCCACAACCCACGCTAAGTGTTGACACCGATTAGCACATTCTTAACACAGCGTGTTCTACTTGCATTAACCTAAAGCACCTATATATGACCCCCCCCCCCCCTCCCTTCTTGTTGGTCATAAACGTTTTGTATAGTTTTTGGTTAAAGAATAATTTTGTTAAAAATTTAAAAAACGGTACAATAGTACCAGAAGCAGGATCTGAATGAGTAGTAGTCGAATAAGAAATAGTAGTAGTAGCATCAGCAGCAGGAGGAGCAGCAGTAGTAGTAATAATAGTGGTAGTACTAGTAGTTATACTAGTGGTAGAAGTGGTATTAGTACTATAAGTAGTATTAAACAGTAGAGGTATAGTTGTAGTAGTAGTAGTAGTAGTAGTAGTAGTAGTAGTAGTAGTAGTAGTAGTAGTAGTAGTAATAGCAGTAGCCGTAGTACTAGCAGTAGTAGTAGTATCAGTAGTAGTAGTAGTAGTAGTAGTAGTAGTAGTAGTAGTAGTAGTAGTACTATCAGTAGTAGTAGTAGTAGTAGTAGTAGTAGTAGTAGTAGTAGTAGTAGTAGTCGCATCAGCAGCAGCAGCAGCAGTAGTAGTAGTAGTAGTAGTAGTAGTAGTAGTAGTAGTAGAAGCAGTAGTAGTAGTAGTAGCAACGGCAGCAGCAGCAATAGTAAAAGTAGTAGTAATACTAATAGTGGTAGTAGTAATACTGGTAGAAGTGGCAGTGGTGATATTAGTACTATAAGTAGTAACAGTAGAGGTATAGACGTAGTAGTAGTAGTAGTACATGAAGTAGCAGTAGCAGCAGTTGAAGTGTTAGAAGGAAGAGAAGGGGGATAAGCCATTGCTAAATTAACGATTCGGACGATGAACGGTATAAATCTGTTCGGTGCATATAGCTAAAGTATGTTCTAATCTGTATGGAATGCGTTGTCCGTGCGTCCATTTCCTAGTCGTTTATAACATACGAAAATATATGTTTTGGGGCTATTTTCTCTATATTTTATGATATTTCCTAGAAAACTTAACTGTTTTTTATAATTTTCTTAAGGAAAGAATGGAAAGTATACTTTGAATAATAATATATATTTAGGCTAATGATTTGGAATAGATGATAGATTAAAAAAAATATGTATATATTTGAAAATATATATTTTTTTTTTAAATATGTTTTCTGTGGTTTTTTTTTTTCGTTTTACACTATTTTATTTTGACTAGGGTGAGCACTATTCTGCCAGAAAAGTATCTACTTGCATGTTGACAAAATTTTCCCATGAAATCCGGTTTAATTAAGTTGTAAAAGCTGGTCAGGCATTCATCGCCCTGCATTTCAATCAAATTCAATTATATTTCTATATCACGTCATCTTTTATCCTGGTAAAATATTTGTCATGCCACGGTACCCCCATACAAACGGGGATTCAGCTCATTGCTCTCTGATACGTTGCGTGTGAAATAGCTGTTAAACAATACAGAAATACAAAATACAAATCTACCGTGCTCAAAAGAATGAAACTTAAAGGTAAAGTTGAGTTCTGGTCAGGCTTTTGCATGGTGAAAGAAACTGTAAGGAAGCAATTGGAAAATGTTGGACAGGTAGCACATCAATATTGTTATATACCATGAGGCTACGGAATCATTCAAATGATAAGAAACTAACACGTGGTATTACAGTGCGATTCAACATCCTATTATTACTTGTCATAATTCGAATTATGAGGAAATTTGAATAGCAATCCTGTTCAAGGGACATTTTCTTTTCTATAATACTCGTCCACACTAATATATTTTAAAAAAAGAATGAAAAAGCTCACACAAATCATTTTTCACCTTACTCGACAATCTCTTTAATAATGAAATGCAGGAATTATCAGTACTAAATTACTGGCATATTTCCCATTATTACGAAGGGATTATGGTATTTATTAATGACGAAAAGAATTCACGTGTAACATGGCCTCGTTTGTATGAAGGGAAATGAAATACGTTCACAAATTGGGGTATTTGATTTTGATATTTTGTTTTAATAGAAATGGGGACTCAACTACTAGGGAACTGTTAAAGATCCTGTCTTCCATATATTGGATACCACACCTTTCAAATTTGGCTTTGGCGTACCTGGCCAGGCATAGGCCACGGTAAACTCAGAATTGAAAGATACGGTCATCAATTTGAACCTACCACTTACAATGATTTTCTAAGTTTGATGCAGATAACCTTCAATGTTTGTATTTTCAAAGATCTCCGTGCACTTAAGATTCTGTAATCACATATGTATCCACACACACCCACACCCACCTGCGCTCCATAATCCCATCTTATCATCCTCATACCCATCACCCCCGCTATCTCTTTCTCTCTCTCTCTCTCTCTCTGTTTCTCTCTCTCTCTCTCTCTGTTTCTCCCTTTCTCTCTCTCTCTCTCTGTTTCTCCCTTTCTCTATCTCTTCCTTTCCAACTCTCGCTCGCTTCTCCCCATCTCTCTTCTTCATTTTTGCCTCCTCTCTCTCTGTTATTCTTTCTTCCAATTCTCCCTCTTGTCAAAAGGAATTGATTGACTACTGAGTAAAGATACATATTCATTTTTAAAGTTACACCATAGGCGGTGTCACACAGAAAAATCCCTTAAAAAAATCCCTTGAAAAATCCTTTCAAGGGGGAATTTTCTTGTTTCGTTATAGGATTTTTAATGGGATAATATTATTGATGACAGACATCAATTAAGAGGATAACTTAAATCCGGATTTTTGGCCTCGACACCACCTATTTAATATTTTTATATTTTACCATCATAAGAAATGAAAAGATAGAAACTCACCTCTGATAGGCAATACCCTCCTTGAACATTCAGCACCAGCCAAAGGAAGAGAATTGTATACGCCACGCCCATGTCTCTAGAGAGCATCTAACACAATCCGAAAAGTCGATCAAAGTTGTACTTGATGTTACTTGCTGAATGCGTGTACAAAAGTTTAACATCGGTCGTGAAAACTTAATCAAACTGCTATTTGAACAAAATGATGGGTCGTTTGCATGTATTTCCTCCAATTAAGCAGCATTAATGTTAAAACTTTAGTCGACAGTATTATTTATTAGTTATAACATCGATATTTTATTCACCGACAGCACTGAATTTAGGATTTCTCCCTGGTTCTCCTTTATCAAATGAACTTATGAAAGCAGTAGCAATTGCTCATATTTTGGCATGTATTAATACAACAGCGAGGTGTCTTTAAGCTTGGGTGGTCATCACGTATGATAACAGAATCACTAAAGCGGATCTATTGAATGGATTCCATATTTGTTATTGCATTCCCTCTAGTAAGCACCCTAGTAAACTGTCAATATTGCAAAGCACAATGATAATGAACGAACCGTAACCTTTGCGTGACGTCACATGACGCGATTTGGGCGTCGTCCTCTATACTATCACAATTTCTTTCATGTTGAATATTTCTATAGTAAAACAAATATTTTCCTCAATTTAGTTTTGGTTTTAGTTATAAACAAGCTAAGATTCAAATAAACCTGATTATTAACCGTATCAGACATCTGAGCAGGGAAATTTTTGAATGTTATTGCCCTCAAGGTTTGATGGACAAGTGAACAAAATTACAATAAGTTAGTCCGCTCAGAAAAGTCAATGGGATTTTGTGTGTAATTTGGCGGGCAATATAGTGTAACGATCCGCTCCGCGATTGTGACGTAACAAAGAGGCCTAACTTATATGAGTCATCGATTGTTGTTTTCAAGCGCGTCATACACGACGCACAGTGTATACATAAATAATTTGCATACGAGCGTTTGACATGGATCTTTTACTGAGATGCTTTAAGATGTTAAACTGTAATTGTTCATAAGTATATCACATGAATTTGGATGGAAAGTTGTTTAAACATTGTATCTTGTTAATATTAATTGCAACTGATATGTCATTTAGAGTGTGGTATTTAATTAATGGTAAAATAAGAGATTCACTTAGAAATTTTGCTCTGAACTAGCACAGTCTTCATATTAAGTCCATTTTCGCTGCGCGTGTGCTTTCCAAGATCGCTTAGCGCATCGATTTCCCCCACGTCCGCATTATGCCTTTATAACCCGTAACATTTCTGAAACGCAAAGAGTTGGCATTGGGCGCTCGTCGGGATAATATCTATTTAGTCTCTCCCTGGAAATTCCCCCCCCCCCCCAAAGGACTTAACTTGGAATTGGGCGCTCGAATGTCGGAACCACACACAAGCTCTCTCTCCCTCCCTGGAAATTCTCCCATCTAAGGAACTACACGTATTTACAACTGGAATATGAAGGTACAGAACCAAGTCGACGCTGGAATTCAGATGCTGGAATTAATATGCCATTATTATTACGCAGGAATATGCTAAGTCCACCTCTTCCCATATGATGCTATAGAATTAAACTAAGACGGAAAACTCCCAAGTCCCATAAATCCCAATGAATCATTGCCCTTCACTTTATTACATGTATTCGAATATAAGAACGACAATCATATAAATTCATTAAGTATAACTATGAGCACAAGGTATTTGTGACAGTGGTGATATAAAGATGTAAATATTTGAAGTACATGCATTAATAAAAGTTGACCATTTACTTTTGTCTTGAAACTTATGAGTCTATAAACACTTTGTCTTTCTTCTTAACTGGTACTCCGTCATAGTCGTATATTTCGACGAAACGAACTTAAATAAGTATTGTAGCTTCCCCCGTCTTTCCTCTAATAAAATATAAGACCTAATTTACTTTAACCGCTCGGACATCGTAAATAAGATGTCGGCTGACGAATATCCTGACAGATATAAAGAATCAGTTTTCCCAGCTGGGAATGAGAATAATCCCGACGTAGAGGTCGAGGTTAAAGACGGAGGCGGGGGCGGCCGCCACAATAGGTTATACAGTAAACCAATGCGCAAATATTTTAGCCCGCTCAGAAGAGTCAATGGGATTTGTGTGTAATTTGGCGGGCGATATAGGTTATACAGTAATCCAATGGACAAATATTTTAGCCCGCTCAGAAAAGTCAATGGCAAAATGCGTGTTAAACCAATGAGAAATAATATAGTGCCAGTTGTAATTTACATCGCGCATCAGCTATTGTAATTTACATCGAGCATCGTGTATAAGAAATTATTAACCGTATCAGACATCTGAGCAGGGCAATTTTTAAATGGTATTGCCCTCAAGGTTTTGATGGATAAGTCAACAAAATTACAATAAGTTAGTCCGCGCAGAAAAGTCAATGGGATTTTGTGTGTAATTTGGCGGGCAATATAGGTTATATAGAAAACCAATGCGCAAATATTTTACCCCGCTCAGAAGAGTCAATGGGATTTGTGTGTAATTTGGCGGGCAATATAGGTTATACAGTAAGTCAATGGACAAATATTTTAGCCCGCTCTGAAAAGTCAATGGCAAAATGCGTGTTAAACTAGTGCGCAATAATGTAGTGCCAGTTGTAATTTACATCGCGCATCAGCTATTGTAATTTACATCGCGCATCGTGTATTAGAAAATGCGCACTTTGCGCGAACTCCATTGTGACGTAACAATCACACCCTAGGCAAACTGTTTGCAGTGTATCGAAAATCTGTCAAACACTGGATGAACAGTGCTGGTTTGACAATGTTTTTGCAACTTCTAATGCTAGGAAACCCTGTGTAGCCTACATAATTTAAGAGTATAAGATTTTTTTTTCTCTTTAACCTCAATCAGAGGAACTTTATTATTCAAATTGACATTCCTTTTTGTTTCTTTTCCTTCAAATAAACAAATTCAACTCATATACAATCATAAACAAATAAAATATTGCAACGTCCCATTAGTTTGTTCATGAGTACATCTGTTTTCGTTGTCTACAGCATCTCAATTAATTTCTGTACCATATTGTTATTTTCTCTTTTAATACTTTTACAGTTCAAATAAAATGTCAACTCATATTTAAGACTACGATATAGAGTTCTCGCATGTGTTCTATTAAATGATTGTAAATTCTTTATGTGGTTTCTATATATTACATACTCAGCAAAATTTATTATTAAATTTACTAAATGACAAATTGAGTTTTCAACTTCATAACCAAGTATTAAAATCTGTTCAGTCATCTGAATATTTAGACCACATAAATTGAAGATTACACCTGAAACAATTCTCCAAAACAATCTTACGTTTTCACACTCCAACATCATATGCTTAGTGGTTTCTGGCGTATTACATATCTCACATGTATTATAATCTAAGATCTTCCATTTGCATAAATTGTATCGTGATGGTAAAATCATATGCAAAAGTTTAAAGTTAAATTCTCTGATTTTATTATTCCGTACAACATGAAATTTAAACTGTAGAACAGATGACCAATTAAAATCCGCATGTAAGTGTAGTCGTTGTTGCCATGCGTTTAAAATATATGGTTTTTTCTTATTTTTTTGCACAATCAGTGAATATATTATTTTCGTATTAAGTTTTGACAAATCTATCATATCCCCTGTCGAAATCTCAATGGTCTGTAAATCAATTACTTCATCACGTTCTACATCTTGTGATTTACGCAACCATACCAAGGGGAAAGCCCTTTTCAACATAGCAAACTTAAAAGCAAATAACATTTTGGGTAACCCATATCTTTGGGCAGTTTCGTCAGAGTTTTTCCATCGACCGTCATTAAGAACATGGTGTACTCTTTTTATTCCTCCTCTCTCCCACACCTTAAAATGAAGCATTCGGTTCCTTATTTTAATATTACTATTATTCCATAGTATCGTTCTCATTATGTTATTCGTCCCCTCAATATTTACATATTTTAGTTCAGACCATGTACAAAGCAAATCAAAGTAAAAATATGGCAAATTTGCTGTTTTACATAATTTTTCCATGTCTTTCTTGTGACAGTTAAATTCTAAACATAAGGGTATTCCCCCAACCTTGTCAATCCAATAGGAAAACAATGTTTTCCATGAGGTATTTTGACAGTTCAAATATTTCATTATCCATGAAAGACGCAATGCACTAACTCTAGCTTCCAGATCAATCATTCCCAACCCCCCACTTGTAACATCATTAATACAAATATTTCTTCTTATTTTTTCTGTTTTTGAGCGCCACAAAAAGGAGTATAATAACTTATTAATTCTTTTGATGGCATCTTTGGGTGCTGGAACAGCAGTAGCCACATATACTATTTGTGATGCAGCTAGCATCTTTATAACTGTGATTTTCCCGTAGTACGTCAGATGACGCATTTTCCACAAATCTAAAATTCTTTTAATCTTGTCAATTTTTTCTTCCCAATTTAGTGTTTCTACTTCTTTTATATTCATCCCTACATAAATCCCAAGAAATTTAAATGGATCGTTTGAAAAAGCCAATCCTTCAATTTCATTTGCATCACATCTTTGTGAAAGCTGCATTATTTTCGATTTATCCCAATTCACCAAAATACCAGCATATCTGCCAATTTTTTTTATTTCGTCCATTGCATGTCTCACTGACGCAAGTGAACTGAGTGTCATTACCGTGTCGTCTGCATATTGTGCAATTTTAATTTCTGTTTCAAGTCCTTCATGATTTTTATCTAGAACTTGTATACCTTTAATATCTTTATTTTGATTCACCTTTAGCGCTAAGATTTCTGCAGTAATAATAAATAACAATGCTGATAGTGGGCATCCTTGCCTTACACCTTTCTCAATTGTGAAATTTTCTGAGAGCCATCCATAATTCATAACACTACCACATGCATTGTGATATAGTGTGCGAATCCATTTTATATATGTATCTTTGAACCCAAATATTTCCAACGTTTTAAAAAGAAAAGAATGATTAACATTGTCAAAAGCTTAAGAGTATAAGATAGTAAGAGTTTCTTGTTTGCTCTAGATGTCTGATGTGGTTAATAATAGTAATATTGACTGCCTAATTCAGGGCAATACGACTTGTCATATATCACCCTCACCTTCGGTTCGGGCGATATATGTCGTATTGCCCAGAAGGCAGTCAATATTACTTAAATGCGCACTTTGCGCGAACTCTTTGTGACGTAACAATCACACCCTAGGCAAACTGTTTGCAGTGTATCGAAAATCTGTCAAACACTGGATGAACAGTGCTGGTTTGACAATGTTTT